AGCTAGGCGTAACCGCGGCGTACGCGTACAAGTGAGTTTATAAAATTCGATAAAGTTGCGGAATGATACACACAACCTACGATAATGTATTTTATTTGTGGTTGGAATATCTTGGCACACGACGAATGCACATTATTACTATTGCACTTAATGTAACTGTGTGTGAGTTTTTCTTGAAATCAACAGTTACGGTACAAAAAGATACGACGAGCCTGAGCTAAAATATTCTAATCGGAAGTGGATCGATGAAATTTCAATGACACCTTTATATAGGTGCGACGTATCGAAAAGAGAAGAGATTTTCGAAGTAGCCGCGAGAGTCAAGAGAGAGGTCGGTGACGTCACTATTCTAGTTAACAATGCTGGTATAATGTCTTGCCATGCTTTTCTCGATCATACTGCCGACGAAATTAAACGGATCTTTGACATCAACGTGCTAGCACATTTCTGGGTGAGTTGTAAAGGCAAACATGCAATTCTTTATAATATAGGATATTCATAAGGAGGTTATTATTTTTTTTTTTCAGACGCTGCAGGCGTTTCTACCGAGTATGATTGAAAAGAATCACGGTCACATTGTCGCGCTCTCATCAATAGTAGGGCTCTTTGGTTTATCAAACATAATTCCCTATTCCGCCAGCAAATTCGCAGTTAGAGGTCGTCGATTGTANGTTCAGAAAGGATTGTGAAAGTGTTTCCTAATGGTTTTGAATTGTTGTTAAAAATCTTGTAGGACTCATGGAGGCGATTAACGAGGAATTACAATTGTCTACCAAGGGAAAATCAATGATCAAATTCACTACCGTTTATCCGTATATAGTGGACACCGGATTTTGCAAGAAGCCAAGAATAAAGTAAGTTTGTGATGAAACTACAACTAACGTAAGGAACACTCTTCGAGTTAACCGTGTTTCCTGGAAATTCCCGAGAAATCTCATTATGTTTTCAATAGGTCGTTGATGCTCATTAATAACGAATCTTTTTAATTTGGACAGATTTCCGAGTCTCACGCCGATAGTTTCGTTGGAAGTAGCTGCGTCGCATTTGTATGAGAAGAAAATCAACGAAATAAGCGCGGCTACTTGTGTATTATGCCTTCGAGACGTTCGGACACATTTGTCAAACGTCTTCGGGTGGGCCGCGGACCGCAAAGTGTTAACTATGAGCCTCGACACCGGTGTCGAAGAAGTTTACAATACACTTTAACGCATCGTCGGGCAAAGACCTGAAACAAAAATATTTATATATTATACCGTCACACTTCTCTCATTGTCAGTCACTCCGTCAATAGCTTCGGCAAGCTGACGGAGGGGTTGATTTCATTGAACGCGAAGAAAAATATCTCTAGAATGACAATTCTCCGATGTTTTATTATACATTTGGTACGATAATTTTGCGAATTACCTCGTAATATTGTTGAGTTGCAGGAAAAGGGCGGGTATTGCTTTTTCCCGTTGATCTCGCCTCTGGGCGTTAATTATTTGTGAGGCTGCTTGGTGCGGTAAAACCAACGGCATGGCATTCGGGAACCTGCGAAAGCCGAGATATTTATTATCGATAAGCGCAATGATAAACGAATTTATCTTAACAGATAAATTCGAGACGAAAGATTTTGACGAGAAACCGACTTCAAATTAGACTACTTAACTGAGGAGAAATTGGAGAAAAATTTGAAAATAAACCATTTGGCGTTTACTTTTTTTACATATTGTCGAAAAATTCGGAAAAAAACTCACCTCGTATCCAAAAATCTAGTCTGCATGTAAATGTAAAAATGGTTAGCGATATGTAATTATTGTTGCGCAAGTTGTATCGTGACACATACCAATCACGAAATGTCTAATTTTACAAATTAGTAATATTACGTAGTAAGTAGTAATAGTACATAATTGTCACTGACCGAACGACGCAAAATTACACGTTAATTACATTGTGAAACGTATCTTGCGTTAGTCTCACTGTAACCACCCACCTTATTTTTGGCTTCTTGCACAGCCCGGTGTCCACCATGTACGGATAAATGGTGGTGAATTTGATCAATGATTTTCCTTTAGTAGCTATTCGCAATTCCTCGCCCATTGCCTCCATGAGTCCTGCAATATTCCGGTCAAACGGATAGACGTCCTTTAGAAGACTGTCGTTTTTGCGCGACATTTTAAATATACGAGCAGTAAATTTTTTCTGTTACATAAATATGCTCGCGTAAAAAAAAAAACGCAACGTTATAATTATCGGTTACCTCTAACTGCAAACTTGCTAGCGCAATAAGGAACTAAATTCGGCATGCCACCGAGCCCCGCTAGCGATGAGAGTGCAACAATGTGACCGTGATTCTTCTCAATCATATTCGGTAGGAATGCTTGTAGCATCTGAAAATGACAAAACCTTGTCGTTTCACAACTTAAAAACAATCTATTGCGACTCGTTGAATCTTTTTTTTCAAAAATGATGATCGTCCGATTACTAAATCATTGCGAGCTGTCGCTACTAACGATGCTGTGACATACTACGCGTATATCTATTTTTTTTCCTTTTTCATATATTTGTTAAACTTTACGTATCAGTACTTGAATTCACTTACCCAGAAGTGGGCTAACACGTTGATATCGAAAATTCGTCTAATTTCATCGGTGGTATGATCGAGGAAGCTATGACAAGGCATTATACCGGCATTGTTAACTAAGATAGTGACATCACCGATCTCTCTCTTAACTTTCGCGGCTACTTCAAAGACCTCTTCTCTCTTCGATACGTCGCATCTGAGCAACGAGAGATAAAAAGTTAGAATTTTTCCCTATCAATTGTATCACCTCTGAAATCCTTCTCGATTTTAGCGAAAATAAATCGAGAACATACTTGTACGCATACGCTGCATTTGATCCCATCTTCTTAATTTCATTCACCGTCTCCTCGTTTCCTTGCTCATTCACATCCCAACATACCACTGTCGCACCTAGAGAGGCATAACGGAGTGCCAGCTCTTTTCCGATACCATGGCCCGTGCCTGTTATCTGTAAATTAATATAACAATTGTTACTATATTATGATCATTAAGCAGTCATAATGTCTGCGTTTCAAATTAATTTGGTTTAACCGAAAGACTCTCTTCCTCTTCTATCAGTTTTCTTTCAATTCACGGTGTATATAGAGCTTGATAAATATGATATAATTATTTGGTTGATTTTTTTTGTAAATTAGAAAGTTATTATAAAAGTGAATGTTCAAAGTATAAAATGCACAGTAAATCAAAACAAATAAATTGATTTCAAAACTAAAGAATCGAAAAATAACAAACAAATATTGTCGGAAAAACAAAAGGCCACGCTATCGACGAGAGCGCGACAACGTGACCGTGATTTGGTAGGAATGCCTGCAGCATCTGAAAATGACAGAAGCTTGTTGCGAATATTGTGTTCTATTTCTCACGACTTAAAAATAGTCTGTCGTGTCGCGTTGCAAACTATAACTTATTATGAAGCAAATCAAGTATAATTGTTTTGCGTTTTACTCGAATAGTACGATATATTTTATTGAAACCATCTGTACACAAGTACAGTTTGTTGGATCCTCTAAAAATGTTGTTGTCTGCTTTGTTTTGTAGTTGTAGCACGCAAATTTTGAACGTTTTTGTTATAGCAAGAAGTGCAACGTCGTTTTTAAATCGGGCTATAACAACTCGCCGTGTGTACCGAAATCAGCCCACGGCTTTAAAATTGCCGCAAATATAGTAACAGAGTATATATAATAACGAATGAGTGATCAATTGTTTTATTCTCTTTTGTCTCTCAATAACAAAAATATGAGTTGGTGTGGAGATCGGCGCGCACGAAAAATAATACAGGGAACGTGTTAATAAAAACTGTATAAAATAGAAGATTGATCTCAATAGGTGGAGAGGAGTCAGAAGCAAAAAGATGAAACACAGAAAAAAAATATTAACTGCCACGACACAGTATTATTATAACATAAAAAATAAATACAATATTATTAGTAATATTCTATGTGATAATACTGTTAATATGTCTATTCGATACATACCAGAACGATCTCCCCGACTACGCTCTTCTCCTCCGTTGGCACAAAGAATTTATACACACTTTCGCAGATATAATACAGGATTTTTAGAATAAGTAACAGGACATCTGCCAGGACCAACGCGCCATTGTACGCTTTTATCATGGCTGCTTGATATTCCGACCTGAAAAGCGCAGAAAAGTTCTTTGATTATAATCGCAGGTAAATCAAATATAATTTCGTCTTAGGCAACAGTAATATATATGGTTGAAACAAAAAGAAACATATAGTATACGCGTTTTATATAATACACACACAGACAAAAAGTGTTAAGAAGCCAAAAATGATAATGACAGTCATCATAACGTTAAAAATTGTTCGCAGATTTTTCTTTTATATATAATATTTAGCGACGCGTCACGGAACATCCTATGTATTCATAGTCTTTGTATATTGCTCAATGTAATTGTGTTATACGACGCGCACAGTTGATCGTATCATAATGATCGCAATGAGACCTTCGTCAACTTTGCGTGTATACTCAAATGAAGCAGCTTCTGTTTCACATTTGTTTTTCCTATCGATATCAGACAGATAATATAATTATTTTATGAAGTCGCACGAATTTTCTACCAAATATGGGTTTCTATGTTTTTTGCAAAAAGTAAAATCTCGAATATAATCATTGAAAATGACTGTTGCGTTGATATATTAATTGAAGGATTGGTAGGAACAATTTGCTATATATTCGAATTTGTATTGCATAATGCCTGTTTTATGCACATTCAATGCATTGGTTCTATAAATAACAAATTGCATGTCGTATATTACTCAAATTGATCTAGTTTTACCTTATTATTCTCAAATTGTACTATGATCATTGCTGCATCAATTATTGCATCAATTTATAATTGTGCATTACTTAACGCATGCAACTATAAAAAGGATATTTTATAAAAATTACCAATTGCTTTGTCATTATAATATCGTTCCTACGCTGTTATTTTACTGTCTCTCATATAATGTTATAAAATTTACATATTTTTTCGTGCTTCAATTTCTTTAACTTGATTAAAAAAAACTGATGATAGTCACGAGTAATAGTCGACCTAGATATCGTCTTGTCGATATAACATTTAGTACGTTAATTTGCCGAAGTCATCATCAGTATTAGTATTATCGAATAAACTCGAATAAAAACTTGATTAAAATGTTAACTCGTTCGCTATCAGTATGTTTATGTAAGGATTTCTCACGTAACATATATACGACGACAAGTCATATTTTCTACGTCTATTTTGTACAAAAACACGAGATAGTCTGTGACAAGATAGGAATTTCTAAACTAATTAAACTTATTAACTGCACTCGTCATTATAACGCTAATAACTGAAATAACTGCATAAGAAGATCGAAAGAAAAATGACTATTACTGTACGTTCTTTGAATTTCTTCGAAACAGCGTTAGGAATATTAATATGTACGTTGAACCTTCTATCTCGAATAAGGTTATAGCACTATCGCGGTTAATACTGATTACGTGTCACTTATCGTGTGTGATGTACAAACATATGATATGAATGAATATGGAGTGGTATATAAACACGCGCCCATACAGATATGCCAACGCAAGTGAGCATTGATTTCGACAGATTTGATTTTGCTGATAGTAGAATGAGAAAATGAGATTACATAACATGTATGATTTTATTTCTAAGATGTGAAGTAACGCGAGTGTTTTAACGATGCATTACTTTGCAATATTTCACACGATTTTGCAAATAATTTGAAATACTTTTTTTTCCACAAAAATGATTTCTACCGTTTGCCGCGCGGAATAATATACACTTATCATCGACGGTAATTACAATGTCTCATTGAATAAAATGTCGATGTGACGTATCGTAACAGAAAGACGCTGTGTTGTTTCGGCGCCGGTTTTCGTCTACATTATATTCACGCGTCTCTCAGTTTGAAAGACCCCCTTCGACATCCCTCTGGCTATTTTAGTCTGTTATTATTCGTCTGGATCATAGTAGGGCTATAGGGAAGGATGCTGGAGGATCTCGGAATAAAGGTTCTCCTTCACATTTTTGCTACAGCGTTTATCAAATTTGTATAGCACACTTTTGCAACTTGTAAAATTGATGACATCAGTAATAAAATCGAATTAACTAGCAGTTGCTCAACGTTGAGGAGAGAAAGCAATTTTCAAAACGCGCTATTATTAAAAAAACACACAATTGAAGAAATTCGATCTCCCCGGCGCGGTCAAAGGCGCGATCGAAAAATAGTTGGAAAAATGGCAGTATAACCGTAAGAATTGAGAAGAGGAGAAAGAACTTTACATTTGCAGGGGAAATGGCTTCGGCTAATTTCACGCATTTCGAAAAATCACAATGGTGTTTCGGTCGACTACTCACTTTAAACAGTGGTACACACAATTCCTCCGTCCCGGCAAGAACTGTCGCCGTTCGCGTACGGACCGTGACTGAACCGTCTGGCTATAGAGTTTTCCTTACCACTACCAACGCAATCGAGATCTTCACTGTACCGCAACAGCTGGTTGGCCTCAGCAGCGACTGAGCGCGTTGTCCATGGCTCGCTGTTTATAAGACGACTATTATCAGTGCGCAGTAGAAACGACTATTAAAGCGAACTATCTCTGGTGGGATAGTCGTTTGCTCCGTGTCCGCACTTCCGCTAGCGCGTAGCTAGAGCTCCGAGGGAAATTATGGCCGCGGAGAAACTATCGTGACGATATTCCATCTTTTCGTGTCGGTCCGACCGTGCTTTATTCGAGCTTTGCGAAAAGGGAAGGCTGTCTCTTCGCAATTAGAGTACAACAGCGGTGTACGTTGAAATGATCGAGGCTTCTACGAGAAATTGTCACTTTATCGATTAATATTAATGGGAGATAGGGAAGTAAGCAACCTTAACCACTTCTGTGGATCAAACTCCTCAGCGAAATCGCGTCAAGAACAAGCAAAGTCTAAGATTCAAAGTTCATTTCTGTTCATCGAGCGATTTTGTTAAAAATATCTAGTGAAAATTTATGCAACGGTACACATTGTATATACATATAGGTGAATGATATCTCATTAATCGGATGTATAAATTGCCATTAATTTTTGTAGTTGAGTCGATGATAAATTCATTATTGCATCAGTTTATTGTGTACTTTTCGTTCAGTAATTTTACAACTCTGTAATTTTGAGTGCCGAAACGATATTGTCTGCCACCGATTTTACTTAAATTTTTGCAAGGAATTTTAATGAATGTACCCTTTCGCTAATTGCGACCTTCCTTCCTACGAAATGAGCTCACAGTGAAGGCTTTTGTTTACGCAATTTCACTTTCGTTGCGTGCAGCCGTTCGTCTCGTCGAGCGAAATTCATTCACTACATCTGCCATACCGACAATACGCGTCGTCAACCCAAAATAATGAGTTCGTAGAAGCCACCTTTAACTTTTCATATTCCATCGTACGGCAACCAACGTTAATTTTAGAATCCACGAAGAATCTGGAGTCGACTGTGGCAATGCGAGGTACATCAGTTAACACGTGTATGATTTCTTCATTGTGGTAGAATTATGGATTTGGATGAAAAGAAAAATTAGGAGATCGATCATCCGGTTCTTTATTCTGATTTTCTACACACACGAGGCCAACATCTTTTCGAGCTCAAGATCTGTTCCTTTTTTTTAACACAATTTTTGCGCAATTAGTTTCTTGTGTCATTTACGCTATCAATAGTTTGACGCGTTTTACAGAAACTCATGTTCTTCCAAGGTCGCGGATAGAATTGCCACAATTTTCAATGCTTTTCGTTGCTATATTACATCACTAATGTTATTTTCGTGATGTTGACTCGTTAGATAGGATAATATATCGTCTCGTCATGTAGACGATGAGGAACTTATTAATATATTGCGTATGTACGTACTAAACTTTGTTTCGTGAAGAATCGAGATGAAAGTCATCAGCGGGCAAGAGGCCGCTGAAGCTCACGAAGACCGTCCACTTTATTGGAAGTAATAATTATCTGGACATTCTCGAGGGATATTGCGTATAATTTTGTTTACGAAACGTATGTGGCCTTTATACTGTATTGGAATGTTTTCGGGCGAATGGAAAATAGGTGGCGGACACAATTTCTGTAATTTTTCTCATCTTTCAAGATCTTTTATTAGTTCCTTCAACTTTATTATTTAACACACGTAGACATTTACGCGACGCTCTTTATTGTTGTTAAATTTATTGATCCATTCGACTATTTTCAAGCGACTTGTAAACACTCAGGCGCACTGCGTATAATATTGCATGAAATTATATAAGTAATGACGCAACTTCACGATCTTGATGTATTTAACCAAGGAACGGAAGAATGCGTGATTATATGCAATTATTATGTCACATTATGTATTGCACGAGATAGAATTTAAATGCAGAATCATAATGATAAAACAATTTTCATAATAAAAGGAAACGGATTGATGACATAAGATCGATACAAGAGAGAATATTTCAATGAAATGAAGTAACATTCGACGCCGCTAACAGATTGATCAAAAACGCCTGTTAGATTTATTACGTTTCTGCGTGTTAGACCACGTTCTGCAAAATCGTTTCAATATGTTTTGATTATTATTCTTATGTAATTATCGAAAGCTACCGATTCGAGACTAAATATTTCGGTTCTACATTTACTCTCTCTTTATGCGAAGTATACCACCAGCCAACCTCGGGCAGTGCTCCAATTTATTGATTTCCTTCGGCTGTAACATCTATCGATCGATATCAAGCCTGTATATACGCGAATCTCCGAATAGAATGCTACGACATATTTCCTTTGGTTGCACTGCGATAATGTTATTGGCGTATCACAAACGATAATTACTTGTTTCTGATAAAATAGCTCTTGTCACTTTGATAAACCGTGTGAACTTGGTTGATCTATATTATTGGTCGTTATGTTATTCCGCGAGTGTGTTCGCGAGCAGCATTTTCGAAAGCGTAATTTTCGCTCGGAAAACTCGACGGATCAAATCGATGAATTAAGTTTCACGGAGAACGCCAAATGATGAATTCGATTATACATCATTTCAATGTATTTGAACTTTGGCTGTTATCCAGATTTCACGTCTTTATTTGGTGATACCGGTATGAAAGGCGACAGTGTTGTCCTTGTGAAATATGTTCGTTGACGTCCGACCAATTTACACTTTACATAAAAGTTGTAAAAGAAGGAAGTCAGTTATAGACCTGTTGTTAGTCTACGTAATATCAAACGAACGGCAGTCCATTGACCGTTCCTTGTCGTCTTTCTATGAATAGTGGAATCGATATAGGGTTCACGAACTCCCGCAAGCAGCGAAGACAAATTCCCAGGTGAAGACGGCACGTGCCCTTCAGTTTCGAAAGAGTTAACGGGTTAACATGTACGGAATTGAATGCCAAAGAATTGTGTTTTCTGCTTTCGTAAAAATCCTGACCTTAATGATCCCCTTTTTCGATGATATTTTTGAAAGTCTCGCACAACAGCGATACGTTATCTCACGAGTAAGTAACAAGAAGAAAGGAAAATGCACTCGACAGGTTATCTGTTTAAGCAGTTATTACAGAAGCTGGGAAAATTTGTTTGTAAATTGAACTATCTCAAATTGCAAGAATATGCTAGTATCGACGTTCTTGTGATAAAACGTATCTTTGTTTCTTTCTTATATTTATATGTGATTTATAATATTGAATTTAGTTTGATAATATTGGATTCTCTCCCTTATTGAAACAAGAATTAAACAATTTCAACTTGAAAATTATCACAAATGTCATTGAAATTGAGAAACGCGAATAAATAATGTAGATATATCGTATTCAGAGATATTCTGCATATTTTAAAATATGCACATTTATGATATCACATGACGATTATTTATGAAATCTGTATCCAAACATACAACAGCGTATCAAACTTATCCTATGTATTTTTGTTTTTAATTAAATTCTTGTTCAAAATTATCGCAGGATGCGGGGATCGCAATGTTTCTAAATTCCTCGAATATCGATATAAAAAATACAAAGAACTTTGCCTATTAATTCAATTGATTAGAACGTCGTGCTAATAACGCGAAGATCGCGTGGATTCTATGGGTTAAACTATTTTTTTCTTTGCGAAATACCTTGATGATATGTTCAATTTGATTTTCTCAAGTAAATTGTATGTGAAAGTATTGTTACAAGGACGTAAACTCAAGAAGGCCCATTAGCTCAGTTGGTTAGAGCGTCGTGCTAATAACGCGAAGGTCGCGGGTTCGATCCCCTCATGGGCCAGTACTTTTTTTTTGTTCAATTTTTATAAAGCTAACATGTGAGTACTTATAATCCGAAGTGTTTCGATTTGCGCACGAGTTGTTTTTTTCGTTTTCTTTCTTATTCTCTTTCCTAGCCGTTGTTCCATTCAAAGACGATTGTTTTGTTTGAGATGAATCGAGAAAGGAAGAAAGAGACTCGATGTGGTGAGAGAGAGGACAAGTAGTAGTCCTTTTATCTTTACCTTTTTTTTGTAGGACACGGCACAGTTCATGTTTAATTTTTGTTACTCATCTTCGTTCGATGATGTTATCGCGCGTCCTCTTTTCCGTGATTCTCCTCTAGTTAATTATCTATTCCTGATTAGTCAGAAAACACTAAGATAAAGAGAGCGGCATATTATCTACAATTGCTAACGATGTATTAGCTTTATTTGGAAAAATGCTAATTGATAAGGCGAATTCGTTGAAATTGAAGAAATGTTGATCGCGACGATTGATTTGTGAACAGATGAAATTGGCTAAATTTGGCGTTCTTAACCGATAAATACTCAGCGGCGCTCGGAGTCCCTCGGCAAGGTAGATCGCGCGCGTTTCGCAAGAGGGGAGAGCGTGACTCCCGGGCAGCCACCTGTCGCGCGCACGCGCACCGAGCGCAAGATACTTCTCGTCGAGCGAGACGGCAGTCAGTGTAAACCAAAATGGCGAGTGTGATGGCGGTTCGCGACGGTTTGCGGCGTGTTTCGAGCACGCTCGCGATTTTCTGAACGGGACGCACGCAATAATGTGATCCATGTGACTCGCGTCGACACTCGCGGCAAACTCGTGGAACCGTCGATCGGCGTGTCGAACTCGCGTTTCTTTCATCGGTACAATAACATCCAGCCAGTGTGACCAGTCGGATCGAACACCCTCCCGATCTCGGACGATCGACGGGCTGACAATTTCCCGGAGCTAATCGTAAGTATAATTTCGCACTCATCGATACGCGATCGGTTGTTCGCTCTACTTTCGCGTCGCGGTGCGCTTCCTGTCAACGTGACATACCGACGTAAATATCGTCGCGCGCTTATCGACTCACGCTTATGCACGCGGCGAAACAACGCGCTGCTTCGAATATCTTACATAAAGAGCAGAAAACTAGAGTTTCTCCGCGAATATTGTCCTCGTTACATGAACTTTTCCTCGTGGAATCTACGTAATCGGCACGCTTTTTAGTACTTGGCATGTCAGAGAGTAATAACAACAAAGTGCGGAGGTCAATATTTCGGACGGGCGGCTTGAGATGCGACTATTCTAACACCCGTAGCTCGACTTTCAACAAATTAAGCTAACCAGTGATTAACCGGCAAAATTGTCATTTCTAATTATATAATTTGTCGTCCAGTAATGTTCAGAAAATTAATCATTCTGTTAGCAAAGCAGTTAATGCGCGCGCGTGCTACTTTGATAGCGACTTTTAAATATGGAGATTATAAAGAAAAAAAAAAACAAGAGAATTTTTCTACTCGTTTTAGAAACAAATTGTCTCTTATTTTCCATGTTGACCACTCTACCGACTGAGTTAACCGTCGATTGGCTTGATCAGAATTTGATCAAAGTCACCCTGAGAGGTTGAGATAATCTAAATTAACAATAAAATCAGAATTTAGAATCTACATCCCTTATTTGCCATGAACTTGTAATATCGGATTCTCCGATTGTGATTTTGTGTTTCAACGAAATTTGCCCTTTTAGCGAAATAACGGAGTCCGTTTAAACATCCTATAAATATTGAAACGACGCTTTACGGGCTTTGTTTTCCATTATGTCGGGAATTATTCTCTGAAATTTACATTGTCGCGTATTGATTGTCGACGGATGTGCACGTTTGTTAAAAAACATGACACGTGTTGAACACGGCTATCGAGAACTTCAAGAACGTGTACGAATCGTCACTGATACATAAAAATGAGTTACGAAACAATACCAGCCCGTATGTTATTTCCGATAAGTGCTATCTTCGTATATCTTCAATATCAGCTAATTGATAAAATTTCATTTTATCTTGTTTATAAGAAAACCTTATAAAATCGCCGATAATAGAACTTGTACGTACAATCGCGAATGCTAATGGAATATTATTCGGGGACTCATTAGAAAGAAATGACGTCACCTTCATTATAGTTGTCTCTTTCCACTTGACTTTTTTTCCTTTCATTTATCGGAGAACGTAATATACGTTGAGATTATATGCTGAATCGAAGCGAAATAATTGAATAGAAGAGCTGTCGTGCGGCTTTAAAAATACGAGAGCTAGAACTTGAACAGGAAATTTCGCGATTGGCCGTGCGTTATTGACACGTCTCGCTGAACGACGTTTTATGTGAACGCCGCGAAAACGTTTGCCCAAAGATCGATGCGCTGCTGCAATTCAACGTGTCCGTGAAATATTTCGCTCCTGCCCGGAAGAACAGGCAAGCGCAGTGCGCATAATGAAATTACGGAGATACATGCTCCTTTTGAAGTCTTGCGCGGTGAGAAGAACCGAATGTATTTTATTCAGAATTTTGCATACAGTTACGACAGCTCAGCTTTCAAGCACAGTTCATACGTGTCAACTTTTGTTGTAAATACGAAAGTATAGGTCAAAAAAAAAGGAAAAAAGCTTTTTTTACGCGAACGTTCAAGGACGCTTCAAGAGAGAGAACTCGTCCTTGTAAAGTAGGACATCCGGTCGTTTCATTCTTATACGCGCGTATTAATATTTCGTGCAAAGTATCCCGAATTAAACGGGACAATTTTCAATGGGACGGATATTTCGTCTCATTCGTTTGCGAAATCTGCAATTATTTATAGACGAATAACGTATAATTTGCAAGTTATCGATAACCACTGTCAGAGCACCCTTTCTCGTCTATTTCGAACATAAAGTTATTTACGTAGCTGTTGCAACAGATTCTTTTTTGATTCTTGCGCACGACAATACAACGTTTGAACGGTTTCGCGGTAAGGTGGTCCTGTGGCGCAACGGATAACGCGTCTGACTACGGATCAGAAGATTCCAGGTTCGAATCCTGGCAGGATCGATTTTTTTATTTTTGATTGATTGCATCTTGACAAATCTCGGGATCTATCATTGAAAAAGATTGCGCGACATAATGGACGAAATAGCGCGCAAATATCAACGCAGCGAAGAGAGGCAGGCGCGCACGCGCAAATATAACATAGCAATCGTTGTAATTCGCTTCAACAGACAAAGAGGCGGCGATGAGGAGGAGAGTCGAGGACAATCGCGGTGCATTGGAGCGCGCGTCTAAATTCAGCACAACCAGGAACTAAATTTTTCGCAACGTGTCCTCCGGGGAATGTCCAGAAATAGTCCACGTTCTTGGCGTGCCGACCAGACGCGGCGTCTACTTCCTCATTTCTTTTTTTCTTTTGTTTCTCACGTTTCAAAGTGCATGCTCGCAACATTTGCGAAATTTCCGCATTTTCCACTTTGATAACACGAATAAGACGTAAAGTAATGTATCTGAGAGAAAGATTCGACTTAATATTTCGCGTGAAACGTCACGGCGAATAATTATTCAGGCTTCCGTTGAGGGTAGCGAATTTCCGCACAGGAAGTCCCTATTCCCTTCGTGCGTGTACAACTGGAACGTGATATTCGCTGACCGCTGGGTCGCTATCGAGGAAATGTAGTTAAGTGAAAGGAGGAGGAGCCTCTTCCCCGCGCGTCAACAAATCTCTTCCTACAATGTAGAGAAACGAACTTTTTTGTCACGGGACCAAATGAATATTAGCATAGACGGGCATCCATTCAAAGTCCGACGATCCGCTTATCTGCGGCTTCTTTATCACAATACAGTGTTATCGTGGATGGATGTGCGTTTAAACGGAAGTTTCTTTCGGTTATCTCGGCTTTTCTTCGCGCGCAATGGTTACCGTCGAGAAAAACAATCAGCCGTTCTCTTTCTCTCGCAATAGCGCCTTTATCGTTTCGAAATATCGGTGCGCGAGAAGGTTTTACCTAAGCCGTTATTGTACTCGTTGAGCATTAGGGCATGAGAGAGACGAAAACAGATGTGCGTGTATATATGATGTCGCGTTGTTGATTAAAAGATATCCTTCGTGACCTACCGAGGCGGTAATCCGGGTGGTCCGTCGAGTATTACGGCCAAGCCGATTTCGAGTCACATTAAGCTTTGTCGCGGAGAGAGGGTAGTAATTGAATAGACTGACGTATAAACAAAGTAGACGGATGCAATGTGTCTATCAACTTTCTTCCGTTATTTTGCGAGGGGAGAAAGAGAAGAATCGCCGTAGATTGGTGCAAAAGTGCAGTACTAGTCCCTTTACACGTTTATAATTAGATCGGACTTACTTACAATAAATGGCTACGAAAGCGAATCTTAACTTTCGCTAGTTTTGCAACAACGCATGCGTGACTAGTGGCGAGCTATACGTAGAAGCTTTCGCTCTCGTGAAAAATAGTATATGCACTACAACTTATTACCCACGCGAAGCCAGAGAGATTCGCGAGCACAATACGGCAAATTATATATCCAACGCGGGGTTTCTCCCCGTATAATGAAATATATCTCGGAGCGCGCTCGTCGTGTCGAGGTAATATCACTTAAACGTCGGTTAAGTAACGATAACGAGTCATCTTTTATTGCGTTGTTGCTCTGTAAGCAGGATTCCTACGAGCTGACTAATTAAAACGACGTTGTTTTTACGACGAATATCAATAAATTGACACCGCGATTGCTCTCCCGGCAGCGGGATCGTATCGTTATCGACTGTCAAGTCCATCTGTTGGAGAACAAATCACGAGCGAAGTGCGTCGTTAATGCAACGACAGAGAAACATATTCAACGAGCGGAATGTGATGTAAGACGCTGAGAAAAAGGCTTAGCGAAACTTTGTATTAATTGAAACATTCATTAATACGCTTTCATAATTAACAATTATTAAACTTTCATGTGACATAACAAAATTAACACGTTGACTCGCCTCTCTCTCTCTTATACGTTCAAGTCTATAGTTACTACTTCTACATACCATGCCCCATATTTTCCTGTCATTTCCGAAAGGGATCAACTTGTCGTGTCTCGACAATTTTCATTAAAAACAGTAGAGACGTACGATCGTTCGTACAAATTACGAGGCGCGCGAAGTAAAGGGTCGGTCACTACGTCGAAGTAGCATAATCGATATGTATCAAAGTACTTCGTCAGCCCGTTCCGCACTCAGTGTCAATTAGGCTCGTGTAATTAACTGTATAATATTCTCGGAAATAGAGTGTACTACAGCAATTTCATGGGGCGAATAATCGATCAGATTAGATAGAAGTCCGCGCGAATCGACGATCCCGTCGACACGATCGTGTAAAGGAGAAAAATTCATGATCGGCCGGATGAGTAGCGCAGCTAGTTCCCGAGTCCCACTTTCGTGGGGGGATCGATACGAATATAATTACCGTCGAGGATTTCATCTTCACTTTCTTCCTTTCACGAACGATGCCAGTTTAATCTGCCGGATGTATCTCCCGCGAATAATTGTTGATACGTTTTATTTGACGGATCGCTAGGAAGCGAATTCGCACGTTCAACTTCAATCTTTGTTTTCACAGGAATTCCTCCTGAAGCAATAATTCAAACGCAAGCGTCGCTCGTTACGGCTTTAAAAGACAAATTATTTCCACTATCTCGATAATAGGTATCGTGAAAAAAGAAGAGTATCCCTCCAAGAGTATTCGTCGTAGAAGTCTTGTAGAAGTGATACCGATCAAAGTGAAAGCGTCAATCGCGAGGGTGTACGAGAGAGGAAGCGCGGGCAGTGAGCTAAAAACTATTCTCCCGCGAGGAGGAGAGAAAAAGCGCGAGAAACAATGGATGGCTCTAAGAATACGTTTCGCGGCGTGAAACGAGGAATAGGTCAGACCGTCTGAAAATCTGTCGCGGCTGAGATCGATTCTTGACAGATAATAAGCAAGTTTCGCGGTTTAATCTCCGTGGAATTTCGAGGGGTAAAGTCGCGGATATTACTTGAAAGTTTGGAAAATCCCGTCGTTTAACGCGACGGGTGGTATTATCAACTGAGGCTTTAAATTGCGCCAGATTCGCCCGCTCGTGGCCGAGATTCTCACGTGTGATACACTTTTACGTAAGATTAATTGGGCAGAAAGACGATCTCGTTGTTCCACAATCGGGACCGCGTTCCGAAATACGGTGAAACTACACCGGAGGAAATTAGATTGCGATCGCACTCGTGTGTGTGAAAGTTTATATCGTGAATATAATATCGGAAACGATCGCGCAGCTGTTGCCGCCTAAATTCGCCCGGAGAGGCCGCCTTTAAACGCGCGACGTTCATTCTTTCTGCATACCGTCGCGCGATTACTTTCGGCTTGACTGAATCCTAATTCGATTCCGCCTGTGTTTTTAAGCGGACAATTGCTCGACAATCTAAATAGATTACACGAGGAGAAAACACGAGCTCTTGCAACTATGTTTAATTCTCGTTTTTTCCACGTAGCATATCGAGAATTGTACGGAAGAGACTGAAGAATGAGAAATCCTTCGTTCAGTGAAATCGAATGATAATTTTCTCGGAGCCGAACAAGTGATTAATAATTGAGATCGTGTGAAGTAGCACGCTCCGGCGACGGGAAAACATCTCGCGCAGCTGTGGTTAGACTGATTGCCGTTCGATAAAAAAAACATAACACTTAAAATCACGGAGTAGAATTTCCGAGACGATGGAAAAACGGGGAGGTGAAGAGCCGAGTAATCAGTTCACGGCCATTAGTTTTGAGGGGCTGCGTAATTCACGTTCGCTCTCCTCGTTAGTCCCTCCTCTCGAACGATAAGCCGCGAGCTGCCAATGACGAATGGAAGGCGAGCAGGTGTAATTAACGAGACACACTCTGATGTAATTCGAGCGTTGTTGTTGAGTATCGAACGTCGGACTAACCTTCGCCCGGGATATACACGGAAAGTGAATCAAGTGCGAAGAAACGGGTTTCCACTCGACACGCCGCTTTTTATCGCGACGGAGATCGCGTTTCTTACGTCGTCCTGCTCCGACGATCGCAACCTGTCGCACTTTGCTTTCTTGCCTCCGTTCTGGAAATCGTGAGACGGAAGCCGAGTCTATCGGATTTTCCATCGTCGATAGATACAATGTCACGCGAACGTCAAAATCAAGGTTTGCACAAATTGTTGTCACGGGAGGCTTTTAATTATACGATTGACACGGCTACGTGGCGCGATTACGTAATACAACGATGATGATAAATTGCATCCGTTGGCACATAGATCGATAAAAATTTACTTTTACTTGCAAACTCGAATTCTACATTTAAACGGATATCAAACGCGGTATATCCCGCTCGGAGAAGTTTGCGGCACTAGTTGCCGATCGTTCGTCACGACGACGGTTGTTGAACCTCAACGGGCCGCAAAGCGGCCAATTTTTTTTACGAGCTTTCACGAGGAGCATGTAAAGCAGCGGCACGCAATAGCAGCGAATTCATTAAATCAATTACGCTCTTTGGTCTGAAAACTAAGTAGAACGAATCGTACGTATGGGAAGGTGGACGTCTCGAATTCGGCGTATCCGCGCTAATTTCTTTGTTTTCAAAACTCTCGCGGATAAGTGATGATTGACAACACGGCTTTTCCGTGTTTTATCCGTGTGGAATTTCTACAGTCCGCCGCGTGTGTGCAATTATTCGTTTGAAGGCTGGTGCGTGTCTCATTTTCCACGTCGGGGATTTACGCGCAATCAATCGAGGTTAATGCCAACAATGAGATGCGCGTTCGCTTAATTAAATACATTTCGCGTCCTTTCGGTCTAAAAGCGAAGTAGGGCGAGGCTCAACATGCGGAAACGATGTTACGTAATGCGCTTTTTTTCTCTCTCTCTCTCTTTCTCTCTTGCGCTGTACGCGCGCTTTACGGTGCGAGCGGGGTCGTCGGTCGTGCCTGCGAATCACGCTTCGCGCGCACTAATTGTTTCGTACGAAGGGATAGATCGTATCGACGTGTTAATGCGACCCAGTAGTATTATTTATGCGTTATCTTTTGGATCTCGAAACGAAATGGAACGCGACGTAATATGCAGCGGTTATGAACTGGATTTAATCCGTGTAAATTCGCAGAGGCGTCGGCGTAACCAGTCTTATTTGCGGAAACCAACGGTTTCAGCAACAACCGTCGTCGCTAACACCGGCCCGTAAACCCGGTAAACTGTAATTTTTGCTAAACAACCGTCCAGCTGACGCGCATTTGTCGAATATTATCCTTACTGGTACACATGTGTGTGCTCCCTAATCCACTTTCTAAAACGCAATCAGTATATTATCACTAAAAAGCGATATCATTGCAAATATGTTATTTTTTAGATGCATAAACGTGTAATTTGGCTCTTTTTATATGTTTCTTGCCATATAAATCACAACGCACTTTAATACGTGTCAATTCAATACAACGATTAAACTTAATTTGATTAATTTAGTTAACGACGCGAAACATGTAAAAAGAGCCGAATTATACGCTTATACGTTTTAAAATGACAGCGTAGTCACTGATAGTTGTAAATATAACACTGTAAATCAGTCAAAAACGATAAGAAAAGATATCGTTTATTATTACTTTTTAATCACATAGATTCTTCAGTGATGATTTTCCTTATTTACGTCGATTTGATTTAATTTATATTGTATTACCTTGATGGGACCCGACCCGAGATTTCTGGCTCTGTTGCCGTACGAATTACGCTAAATGTGCGTATATGTATATAGATTTTTGTTAGGAAACGCATAACAGCGATTTACAATGAATATTCCATTAGCTAATCACATTTTCAATAACTAATTCGACCTGAGAGAGCGAGTATATCGGCGTTAATTGGAAAATTTCGTTTGAATAACTCTAAAGAGAAAAATCTCCAATCTTTCGTCGTTCTTTAGTCCGTCGTCTGTGTGCGTACGGAGAATCAAGTCATTCGGCGAAGAATGCGTTGTCAAGGCAGGTAGGGGACCTACCGTCTCCCGAAAAGAGTCTTTTGTTCATTATTAAGTTTGAATTTGAGAACATTGCAATGGCCGGTTCTTTCGACTTGGGCTCACCACCGAGCCGCGCAAAGGTGCGACTGGTTACAACCGGGGGAGCATGACCGGCTTGGCTAACTGTACACCGAGTATGTCTCGCACGCTCCTTAATTCTACGATCGTGTGGCACTTTGTCCGAACGTAGGTAGGGTGCTGTCGAGATTTTTTCACCTCAAAATCCGAGGGTTAACTCTCCCGGAGAATTCTCTTTCACGCGCTGATGCCTTTGTTCCCTATTAGAGGAAGAAACACGTGAAATCGACCTCCAGTCTATCTTGGCTGGTGAAATTCTTTTTTTCAACGTATGCCGATATCGTATAAATCGCGTGTTTCTTTCTGTTAAGTATAAGTGAAAAATAGCGACGGTCGATCCTTGGATAACGCCACGGAATACTATTCGCGTCACGTCGCGAGTTGCAACTGGTTGTAGCCAACAGAGCGTGACCGTCGCACTATATCCTGCTGTTCAACGTATCGCATCTTTCCGCTACGTTTTGCGCGTGTACAAAGTTCGCGGGGCTGGCGCATAAGTAAGTTCACTACGATCCCTCTATCGAGTTTAATTTCACAAATGATTCATTCATTTCCCATCTTGCCTTTAACGTGGAAATGAAATTAGTGTGAAATTGTTGTCCCCTTTCTATTTGTGTTAATTTAATCGAAGAATCTTGCACGCCAAAAAAAGATGTCTTTATGTGACTTGGATTTATTTAACGTAAAAAACACCATTTAATATCAAATATTATTTTGTTTCAGTGAGAATATTGTTATTTTATTAGAGTAAACCATGTTGTTTGATGAGGATGATAGGTGTTTGAAAGAAAATGGAGTATGTTGTTTGACGTAAAGATATTTATTGTTCGAGAAACCAAATAATCCTATTTGTTGAATCGAACGTTTATTTACTCCGTTTTAAAAAAGATTGATTTTTTCAATTAAGTGAATTTTATTAAGAAATCTTCCTCCGTGTACACTACAAGCCTAGTGTACGTTACTTGCGTGTTTGAGCGATACATCGTACGGTGTTTCTCTAACCGGAAATTTGGCCTCATTCCTTTCATCTGCTTTGTTTTTAACATATGCTGCCGCACTTGCAGGCAATAATCGCAAGTGCGCGCTTGAGTTTGAATTTATCGAAACGACCGACTCTCTTTGCTGGCCGTGTAAGTACGAGCGTTGAATGCATGCTGAGGAATTTGGCGAATGTCTCTCTCTCTCTCTCTCTCTCTCTCTCTGTGTTCGGATATAATATATAAACATTTCGGATCCACACGGTTGAATTAAACGAAGCCCGTTTTGGTTGAAGGAAACGGAATTTCTGGTTTTTATAACCGAATTCGATATGTGAGAAATTTCTGTTTCGTCGAAACCGCGTTTGGTTAATTCAAGCAATTTTTCTTTCTCCATGCAATAAATTTTACCCGGCGAATAAAGATGATATGTGTGATTTCAGTATCAAGGGCGTTTTACGGTATTTCTTTTTCGCCGGCTACCTCGCAATCGTTTACTTGGAAGCGGGAGTCGCCGGTATATCTCGCTTTAAAAATTCCTCCGGTCACAATGACTCACGATTAAGCAAGTGGACCGGCCGCAGATTACTCAGCTTACCGGTTTTTTCAAAAATATTTCTTCCTCTCAGTGACGTGATGATCGAACCCGCTATTTTCGTTTAATGCATTCGATTAATTGTCCTCGTTGTTGGTACACATAGATTGGCATTCATATTTGCAGATACACCCAGATGACGCAATGACGCTACATTGGTGGATGCATTGGTTCTGGGTTACCGCGCAATTTCTCGGTGAGTCAGACCTCTCGTCGGACATTTTAACACATTAACACGGTAAACCCGTTTCACACATACATACGTTCCGTTATTACCGCCAGTAATCGTCTTTTATTAGTCACACGTTGCGTCTTTAAATGAATAAAGAGAACCAGGTGAAGTTGCTAGAGAATTTATCTTCAACATGCTGCATGACATTTTCGAGCGAAAGGAGAAAGCTTCGATGTGTACACAATTTAATAATCATCCTTTCGCGCAGTGATTCTCGGGAGTCCCCTGCCGTCCACCACATCGGGCCCCATCAACCAGCCGTCTCCGACCTCCGAAGATACCTCCGAGTCGCCGAGAGCGAGCTTCCGCGTCGCCAAGGCCATCGGTCTTTATCCGCAGACGAACACGGCGGTCGTGTTGGACAGGCAACCCGTCACCTCGGCACCGTTGGAACGTGGAAATACCTCCGAGCCCACTACGCAGCGCGCCGCCGAGAACATCGAGAGGATTAGAAATTCGACCACGAAGAAGGACAGCAAAGTCACGTGGATCCTGACGACGAACAAGTCGGGTAGATCGAAGTACGATCAGGAGGAGAGGAACCAGTCGAGCGGCAGGAACGAGGAGGTCGAGGATCTCACGGTGCTACCTCTCCAGGAAGAGATGTCGGATCTGATGCTGAATCGGACGAGATCCGCTCTCGTAACGTCGGTCGGCGGTAACGCCGCGATCAGGACGTTCAATCGATCCGAGGACGACGTCGAGATCGAGGTGGCCCAGACGCAGCATTTCGCCACAGCGGCGTCTATCCTCGAAGGTATCAACTCCCCTGAGTACATTTTAAAGAACAATTCGCTCTAGTTTCATGCGAGCACAGCATGGTTGATTTAATATATCTCGGGCGAAATTCTTCGTGCAGTTGGCGTGAGCGAATCCACTCGTTCGAGCAGAGCGAGGAACACTTTCATCGCGAAGCCCTTCCAGAGAGATCAAGGAGACAATCAGCCTTCCGATTACGATGCCGGTAATGACAGCGCCAAGCAAGGCTCGACGAGATCCGCCGCGGATATAGCCGCTATTACAGGCAGTTGTTTAGCGACTGTGGCCCTGCTCAGTACAATGGGTAGTCTTGGATTCATTATGTACAGGTAATGGACTCGTAATGCAATTGCTCCTGTTAAGCGTGCATTCATTAACCGCGTCTTCTTTTGTTTTTCAGACGCAAGTACTTGAATCCTCCGCAAACGTTGAACAGCGATAAATGCAGCAATCCCGATAGCTCCGGCTACATCGACGATTCCACCATTCGTGTTAGTATTGTTACGTAGGCGGTCAATTAACGATCAGGCTTGCCACAGACCTGGAAAACCGGAGAAAAAGTCAGAGAAAGATATAAGAAACGTGGAATTTTTAATTTTCCTCAATTCCTTTGGCCTGTATTATGTTACAAAACTCGTAAGCCGCCTTTAATAATACCTTTCCTGCTTCTAAACATTAACGATTGTTCATGTCGTCTGGAAAACATGAAAAAGTGTTGTGGCAGGCTCACGATAATCGTCCAGATACAATATGAAAACCCATTGCCTATTCTATGTTTTCGTGAAACTAAGAGTTCTTTAATTCGAGTAAAAGATCCCATTTCGCGAATGAGATTGTTATGTAATGCCTCCTTTGTTCACAGGATAACTCCGAGGAGATGTACAGTTTGGATAACGACTCGTTCCTAAATTCGCTAGAGGCGATGACAATACAGAATTACTGGACAGACAGTGTGAAGCATACGAAGCTATGACAAAAAAGGATAACTCATCCCGGAAAGAGAATCGAATCGTTCAACATTTCCGACGGTGAAGCACACGAGCAAATCTCTCTGCTCGAGCAATAGTACTTACACACGAGACGTACTCTCTCGCTGCGAGCAGTCTCGTCGCAACGACAAACACGGTAGGGTGCGTCGAAAAATCGTTATCCAGTTCTAAGACGTCGAAACGTTTTACGACGTGACCGTATAAGGAATTGCAGATCAAAACCGCGAGGCGACGTTTCCCGAGCGTTGATTCACGTCACTTCTATCGTCTCTATATTTTTCTACCACGCATGCGGTTGGCAAAGTCGCGCTTACAGGCAGGAAGTGGCGCAATTATCCTTTGAATATTTCCCCATTAATGGTATAGTGCAATAAATAAATAAAAATGTACTTTATTATTAAATTAAATTAACACGATAATGCTACCCTAGAGAAGTAAGTACAAATAAGACTACATTTTTTAGTCTCCATAACTGTCGCTGAAAAAGTAACAGGAGAAATAATCCTTAGGATTATTCAGAGTACAATACCTGCGAATTGGAACTCGTATATGTACAATTGTACTTAACAACGTCTCTTTGATCGTACTACTCTCTCCTCCTACAATCTCACTTCGAAATTACATCGCACGGCCATGTTTGACAGTCGCTTAAGTCGGATAGCTGAAATATTTTCGAATATTGGATTTACGAATGATCGGACCAAATGTAGATCTAGCTTTATGCCTTCATGACATATCCAGCTGAAACGATTGATTGATTCACGTTTTCCATTACGAGTCTAGCTTGTACTTATGTACATACAAAATCGTCAAGTTTTATGTATAGATGTGCGGTATCTCGCGCGCCAGCGTGGCGTGATTAATTTTAAGTAGCTTCAGCGTTTGTCGGTCAGATATATTTCAATATATCCGATAAAGCGGGCGGACAGAGAATCTATTGTGATAGCGTTTAATATAAATCAACGTCGTCTATGGTGTGAATAAACACACTCGTGTATTATACACCTTTGTTCATTCGTGAACTTTGCTTCGATATTACGCCCGGTTGTTAAATTCACCGTGGCGTACAGCCACCAAAATTCTAGCGAGTTTCATATTTACGATGCTTATTTTATATCATTATTGTACATATAATATAAATATAGTTTTAATAAATAAATGTAGTCTAGCGAAAGTTAGTCCGAGCAGATCAAACAGAAGCGAATTTTTTCGCCCAACTTGTGAGCACATTCTGTATGCACTGTCATTGTTTGTGACAGTGATTTAGGAGCGATTGTTAATCGCGCGGAGTTAATCAAGTGTCGTCGAAGGATGAGGAATAAAGAGCGACTTACTACATCGTATAAACGATTTATTTCGTTAGTACGTACATTTGCGCCAGCACAAAAGAAGAATCGTTTTTATATAAAATGAGAGTAATGCCGAGACTAGACACATACGGCGCAGGATTCCACCGCCGGTCCGTCCTTGCCCTTCTTCGCGATTGATTTTCCTTTTCGTTGTTTACATCGACCAAACGCGTCGCGTACGCTGCAACAGGACGCGCACCAACAGTCGACAATATTTTTCCCGACTATCATCGCGATGTTCTTTCTTCGTGAAACGGCCTAGCCGAAGCAGCAAGGATCCCCATTAATTAATATCCTTTCTCTTTCTCTCGATATATCATAAATAAAAAGATTCGAAAAATATTCGCATCCAACAACACAACAAGGACCTTTCCGTCCCACTGGCAATAGTCGAGAAAGATTTTGGCTTCCGGTGCTGCGCTTTCATACTGCAGTGTGTTTCTCGTTAGAGAGCCTTATCCCGAAATGCACAGGGCAGTGTTAGAAGTATCCGAATTACGCTAGTAAAAGGCAGGCACTAAGTGACTCTTCAAGCTTCGTTGCTTGTGAGCAAAGAAATCGAAACCTGATGTACTCTCTCTCTAACGGTTCAGCTCGATGGCATGGCGATGACGAAGCAACGCAACGTTCTACTTGAATTCTTTTCGTTCGAGTCTTAAATCGAGACAAGTTGTAAATGCAACGACGGATACTTGTAGCATATTCGGGAAAAGGTTGTGAAGATAGATACGAAATCATTACGAGAGCTCGAGCGCACGAATTGTACAAACGGCCGCCTTTTATCGCATCGCGTTTAAAATTGTTGTTAGCCCTTCCGTTTTCTCAACGTATTACGAAATGAACGTCCACTCGTACAACAATCCAATGCCTTAAATCTAGAAGGGATTGAACATTTGCAAGTGCACACACAGACGAGTGCGCGCATCTTCAGATTGACAAAACTCTTGCGTACTATCGCAGATCTGCCGTCACGTTTTTACAGAGCGGAAAAAATGGTTGATGGCGCGTTTGTAATTTCGCTTGCACGAGAAAGAATGTACCTTCGGAAAGTAAAGAGAGATCAACGCGTACAAGTGGATGACACTTTGCGAAGGAGCGCGTTTATATCTATCGCGAATACGCGCGACGGAAATATAATTGCGCGTTGTACACTTTTATCATTGCCCAACAAAACTCGTTCGTTCAACGATACCTGCTCGCGATCTACAAAAATATCTCATTCTTTTCGTCATAGCAGCCTCGACGAGCGCACCGCATGATCGGTCAAGTCCACTTTCGTCGAGCATCGGTGAAATCAAGTAAACTCTCCGTTACCTTCGTAATTGCATCGAATTTGGCTGGAAATCGAAATTCGCTATTTACAATTCTGCTCTCCCCGTTACATTTTACTCCCTTATAAGACAGACGAGAGTATCGCTACACTCGAAAAACTGATAAATCGACAGCTATCTACTCATCTAAATGCGTCTGTATGCGCGTATACGTAATATGTACGTACACAATTATCCCCTATGAGCTCGTTAGTAACAGTTTAAGTTATACGTCGAGGCTTGGATGAGTTTGTTATACGAAGAAATAATTAGCTATAGCGTCGTTGACGACTCGATCGTATTAATCGCGACAATCCGTAACGATTGTCAGACAAAATGCGCGCTTCCTCGCGTGTCCGTTCATTCCATAAGGAAACACTCGGTGTCCTCACGTCTGATAAATTATTGGATTTCCATCAATATTTCTCTTTATCATTATTCGTTGACGATTCCGATCGTCGCATCGATAAGTGGAGACCGAAGTGCACATCGGATTTCTTCGATACCGCTCGATCCACTTGTCGATCTTCTTCAGGAACGAATGGAAGATGTACCTGAAGACGTTGATACGAATCGATTCAGTTTGCTGTCGATGATAATCTCGTCGCCGTTCCTGATATTGTATCGATAGAGTTGCTTGTTAGGGTACAGCATTTCCTCCGGACCATATTGCGCTTTCATTTCCTGAAATATTATGGATTCATTCGTTTCTTCAACATTGGCACACAACAGTCTATATATTTATTAGACATCCTTCATAATCTACGCGAAACTTTAAATATATGTTAAACAATCTTTTTGCATACCTTGTACCATGGATACCTCGGATAATTACGAGTTCTAAGTGACCATGCGGGTGAGGATAAGGGGATTGTTCGGAAGGATTTATATCGAAATTTCGGATTTCTTATAGGATTTGTGAAAGCAAATATTCTGCGAACAATATTAAAATCATTTTACTAATATAGAACATAGCTCACCTGATCAACATAGAAAAGTCTCATTCTATTAGCAGGTATCTTCACCATGCTTTCCAATTTGGTTTTCAATTCGAAAACTGTTCTATATACATCTACCGACCGTACCTGAAAATATCGAACTTGGTTAATTTATAATCAACGCGCAATTACTTAATGCGTTACAACTAACCATTAATATAAATGCATAAAAATAAAAATATCACTTCTTAATCACGAAAAATAGGCAAACTTCAACGGTATTGATACACAATCTACTACTGTACCGATACAATCATTTTTGTCGTAACTTATTTTACAGCTTGTTGAAGTTGGCCCATTATTCGTGATTGGGACAATTTTAACGACATATCTCGTCGCAAAACTTGATGAGAAATGAAATACCTCAACGAGATCCCCATACGTGAAAGTGACCTTGACCCTTTTCTCTGGTGTTAGGTCAACATTCACCAGGGGGTCCAATTTTCCATGAATAGCCACGAGCTCGGAATACCTGAAAATCGAAGAAGAGGGTCAAGTTGGGTTTTACCGCAAGGCAATAACATGGCGACCATGAAACGAGAATAGAGTCTAATAGACTCGGGCAAAGTTGGAACCGTAACGGAGGACAACTTGCATTCATAGAGGAATCGCACCTTAAAGACACGAATCGTCTGTGCGGTGCTTGTTCATCGAGGGAAAAAGTTCGGAATGTCGAGACTCACCTTTCTGGCCGATCAGCTTCCGGTTTATCCATGTAATAACGTATGAAGGCTCTCTCGGCGTCCTCGCGCTCTTGAGACGATATCACGCCGCCGCCGTTCAAAGTCTCGACGTTTGGCAGTCGAGCTATTAGCAGCTGCCGCCTTTCGTGTTCCGTGTATTCTCGAGGGCTCTGGGAAATGTTAAGCATCTTTACAGAACGCAAATAACGATATCTTAATACATACTTGTTAGAGACAATAAATCAAAATGTACATATGTTTCTTCATCGAGAGAGAGAGAGAGAGAGAGAGAGGTTCAAATAAAAAAATTGATACAAACGAGATGATTTCAATGACACAATTTAACAAACTCATATAATCAGATAACATTTGACAAGCAAAGAATTCTTTGTTAAGAATAAGGCGTCTCGCACGTTCTGCTGATATTAAAATCACAATAATACGAGAGTTCTCGAAAGTGTGTGACATAAATATTATATCGATTCCAAGAAGTTGTTTTCCACACGTTGCATTAATCTATAAAGCTAGTTGAGAGAGCGTGCCAAGACTCCGTATGCGAAAAGATATCTCGGTTGCTCAGCATGGGGAATTAAACGCGTGTCTTTTAGACTGTCAGCGAGTCGAGTGCATGAACGAGTACGTCGATTAAAATGTTTCCCACTGGATGCGAGTTAATGCTTCCCGACCTTTAATCCTCTAAAGGGAAGACCGCTCTCACCTCGAAAAGCGGACATCCTTGAATCCTGAGCGATTTAAGCGCGGGAAACCTAGCGAGCCTCTCAACGTCGTCCCAGGTTGACAACAGTGTGCCGTTCACATTCAAGAACCTTAGCATCCTAAAGGGATCGTGGGAAGACTTGATGGTCGTTCCACAGGACTCCGATTCCGACTCGGATCTGTCGTAGTTAACCTTGCTCTCGAATATCCTATTTCCCTTCTCGTCCGTGTGCTCATCCGCTTCTAAATGATTCATGTTTTCGCTGTCGTGACCCTCCTCCATCGCCCGGCGGCTGTCCTCGTTCGGCAAATTCCGATTCTCCTCCAGAGCGAGCGATCTGATCGGACACTCGGCCAAGACGAGGCTCTTCAGATTCGGGAAAGCATACCTGAAGGAACGCCACATTTCAACACAAACTAACAACCTACGTATCTTTTCGCGTTGTATCAAACAGATTATTCTCTGGGAAAATATGTTATCGAAAAGCCAATCAATCCTTACCCCAACTTTGATATCTCGTTCCAGACTTCCACCGGATTACCGGTGAAATGCAGCTTCTTCAGCGCCGGATTCTCCGGCTTCTGGTAATCCAGGTCCACCGTTTTGTACTCGTTCAAAGACAGATGGAGCTCCTCCAGATTGCGCAGGAGCCGTATCAGTCCTTGCACCGTCGACCAGGACACTCTGGTGCCGTTCAGCACGAGATTCCTCAGAAGATCGTAATTACCGTGCTTGATTTCCAACACCTCCGCCAGACAGTTGAAGCTTAAATTCAAAAACTTGATCTTGGGCATGTGCTGCAAGATACCGAAGACCTCCGTCCATTGCGACAGCTTGTTCTGCGCCAGATCAAGCTCTTCGACGTTCTTGCACTTGCTGCGGAGCTTCTCGGCGTCGTTGCCCGCCGACTCGATGTCGCAGTCCTGAAGCACCAGCAACGCCGGCACAGTGTGCCGGGGTGACTTTTTGGGGATGAAAATGCTGACAGACAGGGCGGCCTTGGGCGAGCCGGACTCGGCTTCGTCGTCTGTCAACGAGCAGTCGGTCGTCGAGCTGCCGTACTTCAGCTCCAAGGCTTCCAGCAACGACGGCATTTTTACAGCATTCTGCAAGTTCGTCGTAAGCTCATCGTTTCACTTATTTTTACGCAACTTCTAATCTCCGTGTTATTATCGAATAACCGGTTATTACCAAATCTATAGAAAGCGTCTAACTATTAGAAGGGACGTCCGCTGCTCTCGTTCTGCCTTTCTCCCGGCGACATAGTCATTTGATGCTCGAAGCATCCTTTTCGATTACATTGATACATAGTGCGACCGTATAATCAAATCTCGGACGTTTCTCTCATTTTCTGAAAATATCGGAGAAAAGTCGGCAATTGGAGGGAGAAAGATGATATTATCCACGTGTTTGATTTATTTTTAAACCATTGCTCGGGACGTGCGCGAAGATTGATAAACACGACATCCGGCCAAATCGCGACTGACGTAGAAAAGGAAGGAAAAACCTTCGAGCCGGTCATCCTCGAGACACACAAGTTGAATCTGGTTTCACCATATTCGTTAAGGTCACGCCATTGTCTTTTTGTGCAACGACTGAGAACCGGTACCGGTTCTTTAGCGGTCGACAAAACGATTCCTCGTGATCGCGCATAGCGTCGCCCACGCGGCCGAAGAGAAAGAACCCCGGCGGACACTTCGTGTCGATTGAGAAAAATCGATGGAAGAGCACAGTGCACGAAAAAGCCTTCGCTTTGATACCTCCACCAACTTTTCATTCTCACCGTTGCAAATGGTCATTTTCGCCGAACTGTTTCTCAAAGTCGCTTGAATCTTCACACACGGAAAGTAAAGGCAAAACTCTGTTCCTGCAATTGAATAGATGAAAACCCGCCGATGAGAAATGAAAACTTGAATTCGATTGAGAAAACTGGGAGCAATTGATCGAGCGGGAATCTTCCCATCCTTACCAACGAGTTCAGTCATCTGATTCCTAGGCAAATTCAGTTGCATCGACGGAATTGTTTTTTTTTCCACGTGCAAGTTATTCATTTAATGTCACATTTACGGCGAAAAGATATTCCAACTTTCCGCGAAAGTCGCGATTTCTCGAACACATGGAAGATTCGTGCGTACGTCGATGAGTAAAAGGCGGCTTCGCCGTGGACGAGCTTTCCGATCTATTGCACGGTACGATTATTAATACGTAGCCGGATTACCACATCTTCAATCAGTGATAAATGTCTTTCTACACGCGCTATATACGGTTGCGTCTTCACTATGCATGACGGCTGCCATACAAACCATCTTCCACGTGTCACAACACGATGCATACCTGACTATAATGTGTACAATTGAACGCACTCCCATTGTTATTAAGTGCGACCGAAGAGAGTGACGTCTGCGAAAGTATAACGGGAGAATATCGACATCTCGCGGATGAAACAAATGATTTCTCTCGTTCGAATCCTCGGGACAAACAACGACTGCGAGATGAGAGTAATAGATTTTCTGTTAAAATTTTGTATTACCTTGAGCATGGTGGGATGTGTTAAAAAATACATGTTTTTTTTTTTAATGTATTAGAAAATATTTGTATACTTTCTAAGACATTCTCCGCGTTAAAGTAATATAAAATTTCAGTGGACCGTTTTTAACACAAAACTGTTTACCGTGCAGCGATTTCCGAGGTGCGCTAAAAAAAGAAAAGCCAGTAGAAGCGTTGATTCAACGAGAGACGTAATGTAAAAAGCCGCTCGCTGGATGCGCGCCAAATTGCGTTTACATAAGAAAGATATTACATCGACGTTACGTTACATCGCGCGTATTTCGGACTCTTTAGAGGATGCCGATGATTTATCCTACGAGGGAATTCGCTGCGAAACAAAAGCAACGAACGCAGATCGGTTAATTCGGGATGCGCTAGTTTCGATCCAGTGGCGTCGGTAGGATCAAATAAGATCGGGCTGGCCTAGAAAATTGGCCTAACCGTCCATGCTTTGCTCTCCGCTTCCCCTACGTAATAGCGATATCGGTTCAACGGCCATGCGAAATTAACTTTCTCCAGCGAGCGAGAAGCCTAGCAGAACCCGTGCATTGCACCGCGTTGGAGTCGTGACAGAGGAGCGTTGCGATATCGACGCGATATAGGGAGTCGCGAAAGTCCGCACGCTCGTGCGAGGCAATTTTCGCGAGAAGCTCCGATAATATCAACGTCAAAGTGTCGTGCCGTCCTCTGGGGCATAATTCAGGACCGTGTCATTCATTCGTCCCAAAGCAGCATTCGCGAATATTGAGAAATAATTTCTGATATTATTATACCTGGTAGGGAATGCATCGCTTCTAAATATTTGTGCATTGTGACTGCAAGCGTGGTCTCTCAACAATCATCATGCACGAATAACCGAGCATGATGCGCCTGATTGGAACGCATTAACCGAGTCTTTCGTACAAGCGAAAATAAGCGTGATCAAACAGTGCGAGTGGAAAGACGGGGAAAGTTGTATCGAGTTTGCAGGAAGCGACAAAATTTGCCGCGAAATCAAATTTCAGCTGAGCCCGCCCGCGAAACCGTGATCGCGACAAAATGGAAAAGCAAGAGTGAACGCGGATCTAAACGACTTACGGAAACCGTAAGTGGAGTACAATAGTAGTAGCACCGACGTTCACTCTCTACATTCGTGTAATTTCACGCTGCTTGTGTCTCGAGATTTCTGAGATTCTAACGTTTGCGTTATGACCATTGTGGAAGCGAGGCGAGGGAAATGCCAAACGGCCGATAATTCGTAATTTTTGCGCGAGTAAAAAGAGCGCTCGTTCCCCTCGTTAGTGCAAAACTCAGCGAGGGTGCGGCGGTAACAATCAGCTGAGTCGCGACGGTGTCAAATGAACCTACCAGCTGTCCCGTATCGCAACGCTAAATATATGACGGCGCAGTGGGTCACACGGAAAAGATGCGGCTGACCTTCCGACTCGTAAAGCGAGCGAGCGAGCGAAAGATAAATAAATACGCTTCCCCGGCTTGGCACTGCGAATCGTCTTTCCAAATTTTCCAAAAGGCGCGATTTTAAATGAGGGAACAAGTCGCCTAAAGCTGTCTGGAATCCTCTTTCGCGCGATATATTCAAGCGCACATCCAAAGGCTAAGAACAGACGAGATTAGAGCTTTCCGTTGTCCTTTCACCGACCGCAAAATGGGAACCAAAAGCGCCAAACGGAGCGGAGCGTGACGGCACTTTGCTGCCGCTTCGTAATAAAAACCTATGAAGAAACATTGACGAAAGTCGCCGCTGCGCAAATGCTGCCAAGTCGCGGAATATTACTCACTTGCTCAAGGTTATTGCGCGCTTGCCACCCGAGAGAGCATTGTGAATGCACGTACCGATATATCTATATATCTGCCGCGCCTCGTCTACAGCTTTGCATAGCGACTGTAAAGCCCGCAGATTCGATCGTTGACACCTTCGCCGCTATAAATCATACGAAATTCGCGAAAAGGATCACCGAACATCCCTTTGATGTTCGCGCGAGTTTCGATATTATCGACTATACAGAGGCGATGATTGATAAGCGACGATTGCGCTTATCTCATAGGAGTGTTCAACGTGGAAAAATATTCAATACGTATAATCAGATAATGTACTCTCTCTCTCTCTCTTTGTCCGTTTCTCGACTCCTAAACCGCGTCCCGCATCGGTGCACAGCAATTAAATCGATGCGTGTGTGTGAGAAAGTGGCACCGACGAGAGAGAGAGAGAGAGGTATACAGTGTCACAAATACACTGCGCAATTTTTCAGACGTCGCAGATTTCTCAATGAATATCAAAGCAACCTCTCAAGGAAAAGACAGCGATTTATGCGTCGCGACTGACGTGATGTTAGTCTTTAATACGCGATACGACATTTTCGCGATGAAACCTTGACGAGATCCTGCCGACTGCTCACACGACTGAGAATTTAATTCGTCTCTCTCTCGTCGAGATTCTATTGATTTCTAAAAAGATACGCGCGTGCCGAGTTTCGCCTGCGAGAAACAATCGTTATTCTTCTCACTCTGCTATTTGTATCTGAAATGCTGCGTAGTAGTTCTGGAACACCTGGTGTATACCGGATGGGCCGTTCACTAGAACGCAATACATCGCGACGAACACAACTCCGACTACGTTACGTTACGGTGTAGATACCGTATTACGCGGGGCCATCGATGCGTCGATCTACGTGACGATCGAAAATGTCGCGAAGTTTCTTTAGCCGTATCACGAAATTTCGTAAAACGGAATTTCGCAAATTCGAATTTTCTATATTATATTACACCTGCAAACAGGCTGTTGTCGTCACGTTTGACACTACAGATCATTAATTACCGCCATTTTCCCAGAGGGTTTTCTACATTTTGACTTGGAGTACCTGTATACATCCTTAACAAATGTTTTGGCAGCATATATGTTCTTCCAATAAAAAATTGTACAACAATTGCAGCGTTATACTTGAACAAGTCATCATGACCGAGCTGTACGAAATTTACGCACAATGGATGTCTCATCAATTTCAACCTTGCGATTCATCAATTACCAAGGATGAGGGAATACGTACCCTCCCACAAAAACACAGTCGTAAAGTTTGTCGGACAATCAAACGACTGGTGCGGAGGGCACCGTTGACACGTCGAAATCCGATTACATAACCGATGAACGAGCGCTTAGAGAGAGACGACGCTTTTACTGGTAAACGCGTTCGCTTGAAAGTTGCGCAAGTCGCTAAAGTGCAACGGCGTCCAACGGGGACCGACGGACATCGCGTAATCAGCGGAACGTCTCTCTCTCTCGCGAACCACAGATACCGCGTGATTGTCTATTTTCCACATCTCACGCAAATATCATACGAAATTTTACTTTTTGTCGCCCGCCGTCAGCTGACAGCAACGAAGAGAGCTGTTGACGTTAAATCGAAGCGGCCCGGCGGTAAGAAGGTGAACTCCGCGTCGTTTCCCGACACCATCTTGCAATTAGATTTAATCGCCGATACCGCTCGACGGACGTCGAGAGAGAGAGATCCGATGGCTTCCTACGAAAGTCCGTAAGGTCGCCGCCATTCAGATGACGCGCGAGTGCAAGAAACGAGTCGCGGGGATCCCACGCGAAGCTCATCCATTACACATGCGTCGGTAGATATCAACAGTCGTCGGATCCATATCCAAGCGGCCTTCGTTCGAGCGCGCGGCGCTAAGAGCGAGAGAGCGGCGGCCCTTTGGGCCGTCTAAACGCCGTCGGTCGCGCATTATCGAGACGACTTCCGCGAGCATCCCGGATAAAAATCCGACACACCTCAGGAATCGTGTCAAGGACCAGGCGGATGGGCGGCCGTCCAGCTTGGCCCTGGACACGTCGCTTTTATTTTTACTCACTGTTTGCGCGCCGCCCTTCGCTCTCCTCTCGGGCCGCCTCTCACGTACTCGCCGTGCTCCTCGTCGGAGGCAACGCCACAGTGGTCGCGCACGCTTATCTCCTCCTTCGCATTCCAAGTCCTGCCAGGTGAGAGAGGGAGAGAGAGAAAGAGCGAGGCCTCTTCGCGCGGAGGCTTCACAGCGTCGCGCGAACCTACGTCGTCGATCTCTCGAACGGAAGAGCGGCGTCGCGCGCCAACGCACTGTCCGCCATCCAGCGTTCGACTGGCTCCTTTGTTTAGTAAACAGAAACAGCTGAGCGGTCAACCAGTGACGGGACCAGCGGGACTTTATCGACCGTACAGCGCATGCGCGCTGTCATGCGTCACGATCACGTGGTCTTGCGCCGTCGGAGAATGGATGCACACGCAGTCTTTCGACGAGATATGTGGAGTTGTTGTTCTTCGATTTCGAGGAATTTTCCAAAACGGTCCTGTCTGAACTGACGAAACTTGAACTTCGGGTTTGGCTGAAAAGAAATCTCGGGATCAATTTTCAATTTCATTCCTTCCCTCTTTTACAATTCGTGTCCAATATCCGCTTCTGAGTTCTTTTTCGCCACCGAGTTTAAACACCGGAGTAAACTTATGCCCAAAATAAATGGAGTATTTTCTCAAATTTTCTCAATTCGTCGATGTCAACGCATATTTTGGACACATGCAACACGCATAATATAATCGTTTACATTATTTAGGAAAGGGGAGAATAGAAATGAATTTTAAATTCACACGCACCGCAAAAGTGTAATATCGATTGTAAAGAAATCGTACGTAAAGAAAGCTATGCATTTAATTGAATGGATATTCGTAAAAAACAGGTTATGCAAACTGTTACGCGCGCATATATCTACTTGATGCTGCGCCTTCTTATCTTGTACTTACGAAAATGAAAATTGGAAGAACGTTGCGCGCGATTGCTTGGCCGGACCCGGAATTTTAATCGGACTGTTTGATTGATATATAGAAAAAAGGACTAAGAATGAAGGAGTTATGCTATACACGAAAAATTTTGACGTACGTTTGTTCGGGGCAATGTTCATACATATGATGAGAGGAGAGCGAATTATTAGAGAGAGTTGGCATGGAGATATTTTATCATATTATTTTTTGCTGAGTATTTCATATTGGTAGTCATTATATATATATATGTAACTAATATCGTTGCTTATCAGTTATCAGCGACACCATGTTGATGTTTGAGAGAAATTGTCTGGAAAAAATATCATATATTTTCCATTACATTTTATTACGATTCACAACATTACCTTCCCCTATCGTATTGTTAAAAATTAATGTAACGAGATTGGAGGAATGATTCAATCATCTTTTCTTCGTTATCTGTTTGTTTTCTAACAAGCGAGGGAAAATTAACGTACACATCAGAAAATAGAATCACTATAACGGAAGGCTGCGAAGCGTCTGTGAGATCACTCTTGTCGGAAAAATACAACTTCGGGGCTTGGTTAATCTTCATCCTCCTTAAACAATGTTATATTATTTATCGATACATAGAATTTATCGGTGATATCATTAGCTAACAGTGTTACGCTTGTTTCGTCTTTGCTCTCAAAAATGGTCTCTTTCGCACACACACGCATACATGCATATACACACACACTTGTAGATTAATATACAAGCCGAGAAGAACCCTTGAAATGCCTCTGCTCTCGTCACGTTGGTGCTTTTTGTATACATTACAGGGTTATGTAATACGGATTAGAGTACAATTAAAATAATAGGTACACGTATAATTACACATTACATCATTACACACACGCATATGTATATATTTATAAGTTACGATTTTTAAAGTTACGAAGCTATCGATTCTATATCAAAGGATAGCTACTCAGCTACTGTAATTAATCTTCATTTTATGTGTTATTTTCCATTCATCATCATTCAGCTGCACTGGGAAAGGGCTGATGCCCTTTTCGAGAAGGTGAAACAAATTGAGAAACCGAAATGAAAAGTGTTCTAATCTACGCACCACACTGTTCTCTACGTTATACAATCTGTTAATTTACGTTAATTTGCGGACTCGCGAGAAAAGTGTCTACTATATGTATAATAGTTACACGCGAATTATACCAGCATCACCACAAGAGCGTATAGCCACAACGGCGAAAATAATTCGTGTCGTCTCAGCGTCTAAATTGTAATTTTGCAACATGCTCGCTCAACTTAAAACGCAAATTCGCTTTATCCTAAGACAAAAACTCCCGAAAGTGTCTCAGGCCAATGTCTCCGACGATATTTTCCTTTTTCCTATAGACTGTTCGTATGACATATTCTGAGTGAAAGTTCGTCGACCGTTTAACTGATTCTTTTCTTTTTTTATTTCTGCCTGGATCTTTCCTGGTAGAAAGTAGCATCTGTCGAGACATACTCTCTTTCCTTCTCTTTTATAGTTTAGGAATCCCTATCCCAGAAAAGTGTACATACGTAAACACTGAGTGAGAATGGTTTTCAGTATTCAAAGAGCTCTTTAGTTTAGTATCTTCGTTTCTCAATGGAATGCTCTCTCGATCAAGATTTTCATGGGAGAAGTTTTCGAGGAAAACTTTATTTCCCTCTCTTGCGACGCCGTTCGTTGATTAACGATCGCCCTATAAATTCCAAAGCGCGGAAATGCCAGTGACTTAAAATTACCGATACCGCGATGCATACCAACAATGTATTATTACACCATGAATCTTGCACAGGAAGAAATATTCTGGTGATTGCCGATCTATCAGTTGCTGCTGGTCAGACGTTACGTGGAGAAGTTTTCACATTCGGTAGGTAACGGTGAGGAAATTTTAACAAGTGAACGAATCGATGTGACTTTCTGTATTACGTTATTCATATTTTTCGGGTATTATATTTGTATATATACGCTTTATTTCAATGTCTCCCCTTCTCCCTCTCCCTGCTCCCGAGAAATACACTGCTTGCTTCGGGAATACGATAACATAATTTTCTGAGTATTACTTACTCTTGTAAACAATTCTCTCTTGAAATCAAAGTGCAATTAAATCGTAAATTTCGTGCATCCTTTTGTTTATTACTCTTGCTATTGTTGTGTGCGATCTATTGTTTCAGTTCGATATAAAAGCTTACAGTCGGGAATTCCGCGAAATTCCGAGGTTCCGTGCCTAAATTAAATTGGGGAAACATTGGTTTACTTTCATATTGCAACAACTTATACATGCATACATATATGTATATATATATATATGTCTTATACGCGCAATGTTCCCTCTAATTGCCTCGGAGCGTCCGCGAGAAAAGTGGAGGGCCTTCTGCGACAGCCACCGTTTACAAACAAACCTAAAATACTAAGTACACACGATATCAAATTGGTCAAAATTTGCTTGTACGTCGGTGTGACTTATGCGCTTGCGTAGCTTAGAAGGAACACCGCTCACACGCATGCTGAGTTCGCACTGTTATTCTATTAAAAGCTCTGGATTACGATATGTAACTTAAGTTATTTATTCGGTAATATTTGCATACATTGCTATTTGCCACGGTGAAACGAAACTTTAAGCGTTTGACACGGCACAGATTCACACAGCGAGGTTGATGTCGATTAACCCTTAAATGTTATCACCCGCTAAAATAATGTTCACTGGCGTCACACAAGCGACGTGCAATTTTAACATCGATATTACGTGAATTGACAAAACATACATTTACGTGCTTCAATGTTTCTCCGCTGAATCTTAACGGTGTAAAAAAATTAATTTGCTTTGAACACATGTTGAATCGTACAGTTCGTTATCTCTTTGGCAGACTTTTCGTAAGTGATAACTCGCCCCGATACAAAAGGAAAAAGAACGGTTCTCTAAAATCAATGTAGCAGAATTTGGCATATGTATCGAAGGATTTCGAGTTTCAAGTACATCGTCCGATGTAATTTTCTTGCGAAACCTTCTTACAAAGCTCTTTATTCGTGGCAAATACATGATCAAAGCGCGCAACAAAGCCTTCTTCTTACGATGATCTCATTTAAGGGTGATCGAATGCAAATTGAGAAAAAAGCAGTATTCTCGCACATTATTTCCTCATTTCTGCGTCACATATGCACCGCTCGCTGCAATATCTCTCTCACATTTCGTATCTTCTATTGCTAAATATGAATATATCGGTTTCACAAAAAGCGCGACTAGACTTTATCTTTACAGACTCTCTTCACCTGTACAGAACATTTTATATTATGATAGGGGCAACGATCGCTCTATATTATCATACGCTTTCCTTTACAATTAGTTCCTTGATGCCAAATCAACAGGGTTCGCCTCTACGATATAATTCTCATATTATGGGGATAAATAATGCGAGGGATCGATCAATACGCACATTTATATATTGCAATGGAGGTTGTGATGCTAATACCACGCCTAACTTGTTCGCACACATGCTAACATCGAAAACTATACTCTTTACAGAAGTGGAGAATATAACCGTATTTCACGAAACTAACTCGAGTTGTATATCATACCCTACGCTACAATGAGCTTTCTAACGCATTACGTGATTGTGTATTAAAATACGATTATAAATCAAACCAACTAGTTGCATCGTAATGCGCCGTTTATATAAAGTGTAATAACTTTAGAGACAATTTGTGTAACTTCTTTGTAACTTCTGCGTATATGTTTGTCTTTCTTATAACTCTGTTTTCTTCCTCCCTCCGGGACAAAGAAAGGCTATTAGAAAGCAAACGCAGAATCACAAGAAACATGTGACGAATATATTTCTTTTTTCCCTTTTCCGTGGAATATTGAAAATCTCCAATACATATCGCGTCCAATCTCCTCACTTCACCGCCATCCATTCTTTCGCAGAGTCATTGCAAACACGTCAGAGAACCACATTTATTCACCAACTACTTGTTCCTTTCTAAAATCTATACATGCAACGTTTAACTGTAATTATGTGTTTTTTTTTTTCTTTGCTTAGATACACGAGCGCCGTTCTGGATTGCACGACGGTACGATTACGCGTATGTTGAGATCACGAGCTGGAAACATCACGTCTTGGTGCAAGCTTCCGTGAAGAACTTGCCCAAAATCCGTTTAAGATACCAAACTCAAACAAACCTTAACACTGTAGCTCGGAAAGCTTTGCGTTGTTTCTAAAGCCGAAAAGAGCATCGTCGATTCCGACGATGTTGGACTTTGCCGATTTCTCGCACACTTGAAACTTTTGGTGAGATAATAAATTATTAACAAATTTACCCACAATATGTTGCGAGAGAAATAACACGGAGAAATCCAGCAAAGCTGTTTCAATTTCAATTTAAACAATAAATGTGAGGTGAAAACGCATTTTCTCATTATTTTAATCGTGCCAGTCTCGAATTGAAAGTGCAATTTGACTTGACATCGCCGGGGAATGGAATCGAATTTACGTCGTCGCGGATCAGAGTGACAATTAATGATTAACAGACGCGCTTACACTACGACTTTGTTGGCATACACTGCCGAGTGTTGGCGGAAGTTACGCTTAACCGAGTCTTAATCTAGATCTTACAACAACTAACGTATGATTGACGTATATTCGTCACATACGATTCTCTTAATAAATACGACTAGAAAGACTCCTTTTAGCTTGCAGGCATTTTGCAAGTTGAGAACGTGTAAACAAAAAATTCAAAACATAACGGAAACTTACGTTTCTAATTATTTCAATACCTTAAATAGATGCTCTAAACACGACTAGCTTATTCTTTATAGCATACATATATATATATATATATATATAATTACTGGAGATTTTTCTATACTTGAACGTATCTCGCGCGTATCATGTCACTGATACCACCTTAATCCTATTCTTTGGTACGCTGCTTTTCTGCGACAGGTCGGCCATGTTACGTGCCGACCATTAACGACAAAGTAAAACGATAAGGAAACAGAAACTTACCTCTAGAATTTACAACTCTCTACCGCTACAAGCACTTAAAGATTATTCGCTTCTTCGAAATTAGTCATTCAATCGACTATGGCTACGCTCTTACGCAAGTATTGCTAGAGACTAGACGAACTCTCGCACAACCTTATAATAATACGCACGCATTAGACACACTCCCGTTGTAGAATTGTCGATACCTCATTATTATTGTTGTCCGCACATTAACCTACAGGCCCTAACACACGAATAAACGTGATCATTGATCGGTAATTCATAGCACCTACCAACGACTAGATAACGATACGCATAGATCATCTGTAAGCTCAAACAATGGGATATGCTGGTGTCAAGAAGAAAATCATAATGACATCTAACAAACGGTTGCCCTCTGATCGCAACGACGACGTGATGTATCTGCAAGATATGAGAGCGATGCGTTTTTCACTCGCCGGAGAACTCAATAGAGGAATCATTAGAATGTTATCAATTTCGTGAAAATTTCTTAAACGCTTAGATAATGATGTTTGTAGTACGGTAAAACCGCGCGTCTAATTATGAATAGCATTTATTGTCCGTCCGTTTAAGAGAATGGCTGTTTTCATCATCTATGGGGCTTCGAGAGAACGCTGAGACGCGCCTTTGAAACGTCATGGACACAAAGCCTTCTTCACTGCGAGTGTTCTACGACTTAACGAGCTAAACTGAACGAAAAAGCGGTATTGTCCTTCCTTACATGTTATTTTCCTGTTACTTACTCGTCATTAACCACTATATTACGCGCGAATGCGGGCCGAGACTTCTCCGACCCTCCCCAGCCTGCAATTCGAACGGGAGGGAAAGCGAACCTCATGAGGATAATTCAGACGCTTGCAGTTTTTGCTCTACCAGATATTTCAAGCGGATCATCTTTTTGCCGTGCGCACTTTAATTATTTCGTTCGAATCTCGTGTTCGGCATCTCGTGCCGGATTGTGAGATATTTTTATTGCGAATCTCGACTTATTTCGGCCTTTGCCGACCTGGTTCCGTTTTATTCGGTCGTAACCGCCGATTCTGAGCCGATGGACTGAGACTCTCGCACCAAGTGTTACGCTTTCGCAGGATGATTATCGGGGGGGGGGGNGGGGGGCTTGCGAAACGACCGATTCGCGCGTATTTTCTCTCTGCGTACAAACTAGTACACGGTGTACTACCTATGTTCACCTTCTTAAGCGACTGCCGTGATCGACTTAACGTAACACGCTCTTCTCCTCCTGTTAATTATTATTACCACGCGGATGATCGATCGGTCGTCCACATTACTCCGAGGAGTCGGAATCGGACTCGGCTGGCGTGTCGGACACTTCGCTGTGAGCTTCCGGCGTGGACTCCGGTATCTTCTTCGAGATCGTCGCCGAGACGTACGCACCCGGCCCTTCTCCCTGCGTGTGCTCGATACCTACCCTGAAGAGACGCCGACAATGGGTTCTCTCCTCGGTGTTAGGATGTAGGAATTTATCGACTCACCTGTATTCGTGACGCGACAAATTCCGCACGTATTTCTCCGGAGGCGCGTCGCTGTCGCTGTTTTGGAGACTGACGCTCCTCGCGGTCGTGTGGGACACCTGCGTCGCCGGCATCGTAAACTCCACGTAACAGTATTCTGAGAGAGTTTCGGGGATCTGGTCGTAGGAAGTGAGAGCCATACGGCAAACCAACTGATGCGTCGTGTACGCGCCTGGGGAGCAAATAAACGATATTGGAGGCGGCGGGATAACGCTTGAATTCGTTCGTTTAAAGATCCTTTCTTCACGACACGAAATCGCTCAATTGGCTCGCGTAAAAGGAAATGAAATGAAAACCTCGAGTGAAACAGGATACTTTTAGGACGAAACGAGAGAAGATCGGTACCTTGTCCCTCTTTCGGTAGCCTGGGCATCCTCCACACGATAGCGCGATGTTGATGTTCGTATTTCGCCTGACCGGAAGTGACCTCCATTAGCTGCGGTTCCAACGTATCGACGGCGCCCAAGAATCTCTCGATACCCTTAATCTTGCCGGTTCTTCTGTGCGCTGATTTCACCGAGCCATACCTGAAATGCTTCTCCACCCTGAAGAGATAAATCCAACACTCGGGTATAGGGAATCGAACCATCACGTCCTCGCATGGTATCTGGCCTAGTTTCCTGGATGCAAAACCCGGGACGAGAATATCCGCTCTCAACTCCACCTGATGGTACGTAAGATGGTGTCAAACGAATCAGTGATTAGGAAAGTTGGCCGCAACGAGAAGAGGGGGTCTCTATCTGTTAAATACGAAAGGAATTACCTTATTACCAGTGACACACATAACAGCTTTCAGCTGAAGCGGCAGTTCCCTGTTTTTAGGCGGTCTTACACGAAACCGCATCAGTTCGATGTAACATGCATCCGGCGGCTTGAACCTTCGGATATGTTAGTTAGGGGAAATTAGTTACATGCGTGTCAAATGTTGCATTAGTTCTTCTTTTCTTTTTAAATAACTTTTAGCGACAACACATGCAAAGGATTCTTTTATGTGTAATTATACGAAGGATCGTTAGATTTGTGTAGATTAGCGTAGATCGAACATTCTATCGCAGCAAAGTTGCCACGTACTTTATTATCCGTGACTTTTCGTATTCGTCCTGCTGGACGCACGCATGGAACTCGACGTTCTCCAGGCGAATCCATTCTTCCGTTACAACAGGAATGATATCGTGCCTACCGACAACTTCCTTACCCTGTCGCCACATATCATTTATTCCTAATTCTACATCGGGCATACCTGAAGGAAGAAATTAAATTTCAGGAAAACACGCGAGATGAAGGTCAAGTCTCATGACTTTTCCAAGTTACAGTGAGTGTATCTCGATGATAAAATGCGAAACGAAATATCTACCAGTGAGGAACCCCAGGAAGAAGAGACGAACACGCGCGATCTGTTTGTCCACGTGGCCCTCGGAGTTTTGCTCGACGTACAGTTCATCCACTACCGTTATCTGAACCTCCTCCATTTTGTAATTTAGCGCTCGATCTCGGTGCGCCAACAGCTTGAAGAGAGCCTCCTCGACGGTGCAAGAAAATTGCTTCATGTCCTCGTAACATTGGGAACCGAGCTTGAATAACTGGGAGATCTGGAAAAAATCGCGACTTAATTTACACACCGAGATATTATCGCAGCCGGCTTGTCGTCGTAAAATCGTTTACCTGAGGTGCGTGCTCAACCGGGAGACCCAATTTCTTTAGATCGCTCCCAAACTCCTTGACCCCTTGATAATCCCCCTGGATGGCGTACGCGGCGAATTGGCTGAGCTTGTTGGTGAGTCTTTCCGCCTTCGTCACTTGGCCGGGTCGCACGCCGGGCCTTTCCTTGTAGAAGATGTACTGCAGCTTCACCGTGAAGATCTTCCCATACTGATCGAACTGTTGGGCACCGATGTCCGAAACCGAGTAACAGGCGAGCAGAGGTAATTCTTGAAACGGGTCTTTGTCGTCTTTGTTGTTGAACAACTGGAGAGTCGGGCTGTCGCCCTGAAACACCAGCTTGACGAAGATCTTCTTCCAGAATCGTTGCCCCGTGATCTTCTTCTTGTTCGGCTGTCGCAGCTGCATCTCCCAGCCATCGCCGGTGTAAGTCACCCTGGGGAAGTCCTCGAGCGGCTGGCTGACGTCCTCGTCGAACAATGGAGTGGGCGGCGTTTCCTACAAGCGCATTTCTTCGCTCAGAACGCGATCTCTTCGTGTCGTCAGAAACGCGTGAGATACACGGAATCACCTGGGAATCCGTCCTAGCCATTTCGGCTGTCTGAGCGGTTTCGGATATCGCTGCGTCCTGCGCCATTCCAGACTTATCAAAGGGATTGAAGCGCGACGAGGAGTCCGTGTACGAAGGTATCTGCGGGCTTTTGGGTGGCGGCGCCAGTGTGGGTACAGGCCCAGTTTCCGTTGTTGCGATTTGATCCCCTTCCTTCGGTCTGAAAAACATCACGTGTTGAAAACACGCTCTCTCTCTCTCTCTCGCTCTTTCTTTCACACTCACTTGATGAAGACACTGAAATCCGGCTCCTCGTCCGACTCCGCGGACTCGGCCTTTTTCGTATCTTGCGGCGGAGCTGTCATGCTTAAGAAGGAGTCGAAGCCGTCGGATTCCCCGAAACCGGTGACCGCGGTTTCCGAGCCAGCCGCCGATGAGTCTCCCCAGACTGAAAGAGACCGACGTCGATGAGTATCCGCAGGTGCGAACGCAACGTCCACCTACCGTCGCTGGAAGTATCCATGGCGGTTGGTCCGCCGAAAGCGTCCAAGAAGGGGTCCCCGTTGCTCTCCGGCTCGGCGGCCTTGTCGAATTTCGACGCGAAAGCGTCGAACGAATCGCCGGTGTCCTCGATCGCCTTGGTCGTCGCGGCGAAGTTGTCCAGCTCGGGCCGGTAAGCCTCGGGAAACTCCGCTCCAGGGATGGGGCTGGTGGAGATCAAGCCGCCGCCGGCGGGTTCTTTCGCCGTCTCGCCGAAGTCACCGAGCAGATCCGAGGCGAAGGGTTGAGCGGTGGTGACGTCGAAGGGCGTCGTCGCGGTGGTGTCGAAGAAATTCGCGCTGGTGGGAATCTCATCCGCTCCTGTGCGATAACTCGGTGAAACTCGATTTTTCGTCGGATAATTCAATGAAGAGTACGAACCTTGGAAGAGCTGCTCGACGACGGGTTCCTCGAAGGGAGTCACGGAGCTAACCGACGGCCGTTTCTCACCGCCGCCGCCGAGGTCGCTCTCCATCGGGAAAGCAGGTTGCGGCTGATCGAAAGGATTGTCCTGCTTCACGGAGGTGGGAAAGATCGCGCCGACGTCCGTGTTGGGCGCGTCGAAGAGGTCCATAATGTCCTTCGGCGGCTCGACGACGTTCCTGCTGTCGTCCGGGATCAGATCCGGCACGTTGCTGTCGACGTCCAGAAGATCGGCGAAGCTGTGCTCCGGAGTGGGCGACGGAGAGTGCATCAGTGTGGGACTGGGCGTTCGGGTCATCTGCAAGCGATCGAGAAGATGGTTCGAGGTCGCGTCCATCGCCCCGGTGACCGACAGTATGAGGTCCTTCGTATTCTTAACCGGCGGCTGTGGCCTCGGTGGCGGTGGTCTCGGCGGCAGCTTGCCGTTCCTCGACGGGGGCGGGCTCACCACCGTGCTCGACTGCGTTGTCGCGCCGAAGAGGTCCACCACGCTCGCATTGTCGGACGCAGTGACGAAGTCACCGTCGGATGGTTGGCTAGTGAATACGTTGGTTGCTGGTGTATCGGTTGTCGGCGCGGTACTTTCAATGCCGAAGGAGGCGAACGGATTGGTGGAGTCGACCGTCGTCTGGCCGCCGGTGAAGTTCAAGAATGGATTCTCGCCGGAACTCGCGGTGTCGGCGAAATCCTGCAGGAAAGGATTCGAGCCTTGCGGACCGCCCGCCGTCTCTGCCGCGTAATCGTCCATCAGGAACGGATTTCCGCCCTTGGGATCCATTGCGAGCGTAAAGTCGAGTGAAAAAGATTAACCAACGGCGCGACGAGATCTGCGTGTCGAACGCGTTGATAAGCGGATCTCCCTTCGGACGATTTCAACTGGATCGAGCATTTTTGAGAATCCGCTCTCGCGACGGTATTACTTCATCAATTCCGACTCGAGCAATTTCAGTTCGGTCCGTCCAGGCTCGATGGTGGCGAAGCTGGTATCAAAGGGATCCGAGATCAAGTTCTGCTGCGGCGTCAATACCTTGTCGCCGGTCTCCTCCTGTCCGTCCAACGCCAAAAAGTCCTTCGCTTCGTCCGCTCTGGGATGGAAATCGTCGGCCTTGCCCACGGGGAAGATGACGGGTTTCGACGGTGGCTGCTGAGGTATCCGCCGCAGCTCGTTCTCCAATATCTTCAGCTCCGCTTTGCCGGGAAGGATGTTGGTCGCGATGGAGGTGTCGAAAGGATCCACGTATGAGATCTCTTCCTCGATAGGCTTGCTCTCGATCCTAGGTGTCAGAGGCTTCGCGTCGACCTCGACCTCAGCGTCCAACAGGCTCTCTTGTCGGTGGTATTCCTGCTCCTCTACCTTCCGCGGCCAGGAGGACTGTTTCAAGTTGCCGAACGAAGTGGCCGTGAAGTCGCTCTGCCTCCTGGTGGTCGGCTCCGCGTTGGTTCTCGGATCAAAGTCGTGATCACTCAGGCTGTGGGGCAGCATGGGTTCCTGCTTCAACAGCTCCGACTCGATGAGCTTGAGCTCCGTTTTGCCCGGCGCGACGTTATTGACGAAGCTGGTGTCGAAGGGATCGACATCGTCCTCCTCCACCGGCAGTGACTCTTCCAAGGATTTCTGCGAGTAGTACGGTGTCAACGGCTTGGAAGGTAGAGTCTTCTCCTCCTCGCTGGTCGCGAGAAGATCGGGTCTCTTCGACGGTGTCGGCAGCTCGAACGCGACCGCCTTCGTGAGAATTTCGAGGACCGCCGGTCGGCCGGATGTCTTTCTCTCGTTTCTCGAGTGTACCACCTCCTCTTCCTCCTCGCTGCTAGCTACGTTGGGGGGTCGGGCCAATTGTGCCTCGTCTTTCCTCGGATCGAAATCTTCGTCGTTCTCGCCGCCGAGTAGCTCCTTCTCCAGAACCTTCAGCTCCGTCTTGCCGGGCGGAAGCTCCTTCACCGCGGACGTGTCGAAAGGATCGACGTAAGTGATCTCCTCGATTGGCGCGATCGGCTGGTCCGCCAATTGGCTGAGATCGGTGCTGGAACCACCTAGCAGATCCTGCTTAGGCAATTCGTCCTTCTGTTCATCGTCCAACTTGAGCAAACCGGTCTCGTAGTCCCTGTTGAAGCCGGCGGGGTCGGTCAGAGATATGGATACTTCCGAAACGGGCAATTCCTCCAGCTCCTTCTCGATAAACTTGAGCTCCGTTTTACCCGGCAAGATGTTATCCGCGAAGGTGGTGTCGAACGGATCGGCCTCGTCGGCGAAGGTGGCCGCCTCGAAGCTGGCCTCGATTATCTCTCCCTGAAAGTCGCTCGTTTCCTTGGTCGCGAACGGGTCGTCTGCCTGCTCGAGGCGAATCGACTCATCCAAGTCGAACTCGCCGTCCTCCAAATCGGGGATCTCTTCCAAGACGGAAGTCTTCTCCTTCAGCACCTCAAACTCGGAGATGTCCAACGGGCCGTTCTCCTCGATCGCAGCTTCTTCCGGTCTTGCTAGCACGGCTGGCAATTTCGTCAAGTCAACAGGGATGTCTGGAAGATCGCTGTCGTCGTCCAGCAGAGTCTTCACCGGTTCCGCGCTTTCCGCCGATAACTCCGCGAAATCGTCCAACAGTAAATCCTGCTGAGTCCTGGGCCTCCTGCCTTTGGTGAGTTTACAGGTGCTCACATAATCGATTCGTCCCGACAGAACCTCCACGGCATTGCCTAGGCTGACTAACTTGTTGCCCTTCTTGTCGACCGTTCGGAGTACTTTCTCGGCGTTGGTAGTGTCGAAGGGATCGTCCCCGGCCTCCTCCTCGGTCGGGCTGTCCGGTATGTAAGCTAATTGCACATCGATATTCTGAAGAACGTCCACGTAAGTGGTGTCGAAGATGTCCTCATCGGCCGAGTCCTCCGGCTCATCCTCGTCCTCCGGCACGTCCACGAAACCGTCCTCGTTGGGTTTCTCCTCCTTCTTGGCCTGACCTTCGATCTCCGGCGGCTCGATTGGATTGCCCTCCTCGTCGAAGCCCACCCACTTTTTCGAGGACGACTTCCTCTCCTCTACCTTCTTCTCTTCCAACGGCGCCTTCCGCTGAAAGAACGAGGTGGACTTGATCCGGTCGAGGTCACCCTGGGTCTTCTTCAAGACCGAGTCGACGCCGGCCGTCAACGCCTGGAACTTCTTCCACTCGTCGGATCCGCCGGTCGACTCTCCGGATTCTTCGGCTTTCCGTTGGGCCTCCGCCCGCTCGCGCCGATAACGCTCGAGCTCTTCCGGATCGAACTCCTCCTCCTCCGCGCCCTTCTTCCCCTTCTTCGGCTTTTTCTTCTTCTTCAGGCCTTTGGCTAGTTTGTGCATCCTCTAAGACCTACCGTTGTGCGCGAGAGGCTCCTGCAAGCAGAGACGTTCGGTTGGAGGACCGCGCGTAATATTCTCTCTCTCGTCGCGTGGCCAACATCAAGCGTGCTAAACGCTCTTTCGTACATCATCGGATAGAAATTTGCGTCTGGGATCATTGCCAGAGGCCGATCGATCGCAGTGCAGTAGCCGAACGTCTTTTCCCCCGCGTCGTCCGATGAGGCAAGAATAACGATCGCGGCGAATCACCAAATTGAGAGCTTCTATAAATCCACGTCCTTTACGAATAATCACGCTTTAAATAGAAAACCGATAGATTCGCCGATGTACCTCTCGATCCCACCGAAATGTTCACGATGTTGAGTGTGGTCCTCGCTCAATTTTACGACGATATAACACTTTGGAAACGAAGTTCCTTCAAATGTACGGACGTGACAAATCCGTATAACGAAACGTATTTATTATCTTATGCTAAGTTAAACATCAGGTGTGCTGCAAACGATCGTATTATATACGCTAATATTAAGCCTACGATCGTACGGCGTGTTTTAATCAAACAACACACCTCGATGGAATTTCATTAATACACCGGTGCCTCCGATACGTGTCGGCAATGACGATACATCCCAATCGCCACTTTTTACCCTCGGCGACGACTCTTTAAAGGGAGAGAAGTCTTTCCGCGATGAAACAGAGATATTAACCACGAATGTGACATCCCGTCTATCAAACGCAGCTCACGTGCTGTACGTTACACCACGGCGGTAACACCCTTCCGCAGACCCCTCGGCGTAGTTACGTTTTGTCACAGGTCGCTGAGCAGCTCTTCTGCGAAGCACCGCTGCGTACACGCGCGCGCGTGTGTGTCGTGAAACTATGATCGATACGCGAAAAAAGAAAGAACCGCCGTGACGGGAGAAAATTCAGTTTACGCTCGTAAACTGTGTCTTAACGTCACGTATTATTAACGAGTCCACGCTATAACGGACAAATGGTCGAATAATTTTAGAACGCAGGAAAATACGCATCGATATTCATGGTGTCATAAAAAATTTCTCACACTTGAAACGCGGCGGCTTAGGTTAAGCTGATGCTCGTTCTAAAGAGCGAGTCTCCCGCTGTTTCCTGCGCTCATGGCTGCGCTATACGTTTATCAATATTTCAAGCATCCAGACTGAACTCTCGTTAACTAATGAAAATCCCAACTACACATTATGCTCGTGAAAAAAGGGAGCAATCAGCGCCTCGATTGGCGTGTCAAGTGAAGCGTGATGCAAATTCGCTGCTTTCATTTTCTCAAGAATAAGGCCACGCTCTCAAAAGAGAGAGAGAGAGAGAGAGAGAGAGCGCCATTTACTGTGAAAGCATCGTCACAGGGACGATGTTCCGTAAAAATGTCCATCTGGCTTATATTTAATTGGGTCATACTACGAACGATAAAATCCAAAATCCAATAACCAATCGCATCTGTCATTCTACAGCCGTTTCAAGGAGAGGCAGTCGTAATGATATTCCTCACGCCTCCGGGGCGACTCTATGTACACCCTGTACACTTTATCGGAAGTCAGTCGCAATACGAGAGAGAAACTTGGACTTGTTATTCCGATTAAATCTCGTCTTCCCGTAAAATGACCGCTGCCGATTGCAGGCAATTACTCGGAGCCGAGACAACACGCGCGTGGTTCATCTATTTCGGTCGTTTGTAAAAATTTCTCACGGAGCTGCTGACATCTCTCTTTCCCTCATGAGCGAATTCTCCGTCTGAATTCGAGATCTCTCGAGGCGCTCGCGTGATAGACGGATTTGGAGAAACAACGCGCGGACGAGAAAAATCAATAACTTCCTCGATGAAAAATGATTAAACGACGCGCGCGACGGTACAATCGACCGCGGGATAAGATAGGAAACCGATGACCTTTTCTACATACTAGACTTTGCTGGGTTAGCCGAAGCGCACAAGGGCCAACGACTCGGTGCTGTCACTGCCGGACAAACTGCTGTGATTTTTTTTCCTCAGATAAACGCGAGCGGCTATGCGATATCTTTCTCATTCCCGGCATTTTCTCTCGTGATCGCCTCGACGCAGCTTCGTGAAGGATTCGATGCGCAAAGTCTTACTTGATTAATTCTAAGACGACGAATCGCTCCTCTCAAATTCATCGGTGATCTCTAATGTCTGTGTAAAACTGCTTACTGAAGAAAAAGCACCGTTATTATCTTACAAATAGGGCTAAAAATCGTCGATACCGCGCCTCTTCAAGCCAGTGTGCCGAGGAAAGATGAAATGAGGTGCTATAGCACACCGGGGGAATCGGGGCATAAATGGTACAACTTACGATTAACGACGCGACGTTTTTCCTAGCACGCGCGGAATGTCAGTCGGTGATGTACGTACGTGTGTCTCTACCACTTATTACTCCGCGTAAGCTGCAGCACGGACCACTGCGGGGATAAAATCAATTGAACGTGCAAACAGAAAGCGACCATCACGGGCGGAGCAACAACTACGTCTCTAGCTAACGGTAACACATCCGTCCTAATTGCGTCGAAGAGAACATTCTGGAGCGGTTGATCCGATTACGTCAGATTCCGGAGCTGCGTCGTCAGATCAATGAACAAGCTCGCCTGTTGCGGGCCGAAAAGAGCAGCTTCCTCCGGCGGTGCTCGCGATCAATTCGCGAATTACGTGTGTGCCTACCGTCGGGGGTGGTGCAGCACCCTTGTGCGCCTTTCGAAGGGGGGTAGCGGTGCCCTTGGAGAGAGTGTGTCGTGCACACGTAATACTCACGATTTCAGCCTCATCAGTCGCCACGTCGATGCGGTACACATTTTTTTCGCGTCATCCCGCTGACCCCCGGGTCGTTCGAGAAAGAGATAGGAGGAGACGACACGGCCGCGCCGAGAAGAAAAGACAGACGTTTGAAGACGACGATTGGCGCGGAAGCTTATTTACTTTCCGGAAACGAACAACGCAGCGGGTGTCGGAAAGAGAGAGAGAGGCACGAAGGCCCTGCCGAAAGCGAAGGCGACTCACCTCGTACTCTCCTGCGGGCCGAGCTATTTCCAGCATCGATCCGTTTCCGTCGGAGAAGAAACATGCGCGCGGCCGAGCCACCCACCGCCCCCGGCGCAGCGCGAACCGACGCCGAGCTTCGCGACGCCGGCGGCGGCGATGCTCCGAAAAGTCGAGAGAAAGCGAACCCCAAATTCGCGCAATTTCGGGAGCGATTTTTTCGCCCGAAAAACCCTTTATCTCTTCGGTCTGTTACACGATACGTTGTCGTCGGAACAATGAGGAGAATTCCTTTTCGGGAGACAAATTCTCTCATTGGACCGTCTCGACATCGGCTTATTGCGTAACAGCCGAATTGCGAAAGCGGTAAATTGGACGAATTTGCTTTCTATCAATTCAGTTTTACGTGCGGGTCTCGGGGATGACAAACGTGGTCTAGGGCCCGTAAATAGGTCAGAACGCCCCTGCGATTCGATAGCCGAGGATCACCCCGACGCCCACCTCAGCTGCTGTAGGCGCCACTCGTCATACATCGAGCGAGCACGCGATCAACCTTGATTGAAAGTTTATCATACACAAATTCGTTGCGACTTGCGCTCGTATGAGGCAACGCTTACGTTGAAAAGATCAAGATAACACAAGAGAATATATGCGCGTATGAGATTTTAACGCGATGTCATATTTGTGGTCGCATACGATGAAACTTTTAGTTAAACGTAAAATTACGGGGGTGGATGTTAAGGGTAGGACCCTTACTACTCAATAGCGACAATGTCTATCCGACACATTGTTCAATCGATGATCGCTGACTGAAGAAAAAGAAGTTGGTGGTGTATAGCCCGTCGTAATATTCGGGAATAAAAGATCTTCTCACCTGTTGTGAAGCCGTACTGTTTGAAAACTGAGAGGTTCGGCTCGTTGTTAAATAATACTGATCGTAAAGAAAACGATATTTTGGCTTGACGATGCGAGCTGCTGCTCTGTTTGAAAATTATGACTTCGATTTGTCGTTAAAATTAATGGCGGCTTGTAGCGGAAATCTTGCCTGCCTGGCGCCACCTAGCGGTGTTGACGAGAAGCCCGTGGGTTAGAAGTAAGGTTTGACCGCAGCATGGAAAATTAGTTCCAAATTTCTCCGTTACGAGCCGCCACCGTCCTTCACAAAGATTCGAGGTAGTAGTGCGACTATTATGTGCCGGACGATCATTTCAAACAGCGAGACTCGGGTCGGAGGACCTTTAATTTTTCAGGTAGTACCACTTGACAATATACGAAATAAACTTTTTATTCTTTAACAACGTGATCAAACGACGAGCGGAACGAACCTTTGTCTCTATTCACCAACGAGAAATAAAAGTTCTTTTAATGTTCTGACGTTGAATTGTATTACTGAAACGGTAACAACAGTGGAAATAATACATATTACTTTTTGCAACCGGGACTTTTTTGGCCGTATATTCGACGAGATTCGGTAATCCTTCGACTCCAACGATACATGTATGCGTGTATATACGATGTATATACATTTGTATATACGCATATCTTCTCATCGTGTGTATATACATATATATATATATATGTATATTCTTTTCTTCTCTCTTTGAAATTGTACGTTTATTTTACACATAAAATTAATATAATTAATAATAATATGAATAATAACAATAATTATAAGAATAATAATGTACATACTTTCACCGTTGTGTTTACATAATCATGACGGCAATCAGAATCATACGTATAATGATCATAATTATGACATAATCTTCGTCAACGTACAAGTTTGCCAAGTGAGGAACTGTTGTCAAAAATTTGATTCGCTAATTTGACACAGATATCTGAGCTGGGTAAAAATGTGATTCCTCCGAATCCATTGTTACGTAGAGGACCATTCAACAGCATTCGTCTATCGTGATCACTCGACAAAAGGGCACGAAATATACAATAACGATGTCAATGATGATAATAATAAATTTGAGTAATCAATATAATTATAAAAATAATAATAATTCGAGTAACAACATTCCTTTCCTTGTTCTCTTTTCTATACAAGTGCACAATTATTTACATACTCAGTATACTGACAAATTCTAAGGTGCCTTTGAGCGCATTATTATTTCTTTTCTTTTTTTTTTTTTAAGACCTGGATTCCTCTGGAAATAATCCAGAATTATTTGGCACATCTCAGTTTTGCGTCCTTTCACATGCGGTCTGATACTTGGCACGAACCGTCACGCATTGATTTGCTTAGAAGAATTGATTTAAATAGCTAAAAATGGGGATAATGACTTTTTTTTTTTTTCATCGAAGACATCTCTCTAGCGCGTCCGCTTTTACAACTGTTTCACATTGAATTTAGTGCATCTATCTTTTCTCGATCGACTAACATTACGACTGATCTAATCACGATACAGTAGCCCACAGTCTCTAGACGAATTGATGACACATCTTTGCCAACTTTACCAGAGTCGTGTAAATTCATCGGGAAACAAAACAGACTCCCGTTCCGTTGATACGCAATTATTATTATTGCTTAACGCAAGAATACCTGCAAGACACACGTCGCGCACATTGCTACGATGCGATTTATACCGGACCGTATAATTTCCAACGAAAGACCGCGATGGTTTTTCTCTACTACTTTTATTTTATTTTTTTCTTATTTCATATCGATCCCTATTCGTAGCGACACAATGACACAGATAAACACCTTTTTTTTATCCTATTGACGCATCATAGTAATCGCTTCCTGTAAAAAAACACTCGAGAGAAACAATCGTTTTTTTTTTGTTTGTCATTTCTTACGCGAAATTTCCGAAAGCTTGTATACCGACGACCACAGTCGAGTCTAAGTCTATTGCGTTTAACGAATCTACAGGTTAGAAACACGAGTTTCTGCTCTCTAAACAAACACGAAACTGTCTAGGGCGAACGGTAAGCGAGTTTCACCCTTCTTCGAGATCGCAGACGTTTCCTCATGCGTTCGAAGAGATATATTTATGTATCGTTACATTCTCTCTCTCTTTCGCGGGATCGTCGTTTCGGAATATCTTTCCCTATCTCTTTCTCTCGTCTTTTTTACTTGTCGTTTTTCCTAACGATATAACGGTTTGCGCTCGGTTAGAATAGAAGCAGGATCGGCAAAAATTTCTAATCAAAAGTCACGTGAAAAAAATATGCGACTTTCTATGATCGTATGCGGCGTGTGGTTTATTCGGTACGTACGATACATGATGCGATACAACGCAAAGAAGGTAGATATTCTACGCGGAACTCCGCGACGCGTCAACATTCGCTACGCTGTGGGGATCTTTTAAAAAATGTGGATCGAGAGGGCTGCCTCCACTTATCAAAGTTTATCAAAACGTATACGTATATGCATGATCATAGAAAATTACACAGTATTTTCACGAGTCGCCGAGAATTAGAAATTTTTCACTCTCAGGAGACGACGTCAAGTCGTCAGGTACGTTTCCTCACGTAGAATGGGCTAATGATGTAGAAAGAGCGAAAGATACGCTCTCGGTAGAGCTATGCTTTGGCGCACCGAGGATGATACTTCTGAATAATCGCGCATCTATAACAATTAACCGTTTATCAGTCTGAGGGCATAAATACTTTGGGAAGGAACGTCTTTCAGTCGGAATTACTTCGAGACGTAGGCCGAGCTGCAGCGACTCTGTTCGAAATTTAAGCGTAACTTAAATATTAAATTCGGCCGATGATCGTCCGCGATTTGATTATACACGTCACTCAAAATTCGAAACATCGTTGATGCAACCGAGCCACGAGAACGCCCGCCGTCATGGTGTGAGGATACACGAGGAGGATACTCTTGCTTCTATTCCAAACGATCTACTAGTCGGGGAATAGTCTGTCGAATTTCCTGCGGGGTATTCTCTCTCTGTTTCTCCCCTTGAAAATTTCTTCTCTTTATTTTTCTCCCGGTTCTGCTTCCGATGATGATCCTCCATCGTTTTCATGGCACCAAAATACGACAACACACACGCGGAAGACTCTGTCAAACGGGTAGTAGTACTTGCAGTATAATAACTCGGGGAAGATTCGAGAGATTTGCGTAAGAAACATAAAACTATATAACAGGCACCTGTAGAAGAACCAGTCCTTCAAATATCTATCAGACTCGCGCGAAGCCTCGCTTGAAAGCGCTTGTCCTGCAAACAGATACCGCAATACTGGCCGTTTCGTCGCCGAGCACGTGCAACGATGCTAAGCGCGGCTGCAACGTCGCTCTTGGTTACTGAATCCAAGACGCAGGCACCCACTGAGGTTCCCTCTCGAGTGAATTGATCTCCGTGAGAAGCTGATTATACGCCCGATCGGTATCGTTGTTCAGGATGAGCATGTCAAACAAGTGGCCGTACTTGTCCTCCATCTCGCGCGCTTTCTCGATTATGTCCTTCAGCTCCTCCTCCTTGAAGCTCTCGTTATTCTTGATCCTCTTCTGCCTGAGCTTCTCGAGGCTCGGTGGTGCGATAAACACAACGTACGGCTTTAGATCCGAATTCCGCAGGATCTTGAGGCTCTGGGGGTGAAGGTTTAAGACACAGATTTTACCGGAATTAACCACTGTCCTGATGGCCTCGACGGACGTGCCGTAATACGCCTTCTCGTATTCGCCGTGCTCGACAAACTTCCGACCGAGGATATCGGACTCGAACTGAGAACGTGAAATAAAATGGTAGTCCTGACCATCGACCTCGGAGTCTTTCTTCGGGCGGCTTGTGTCTGAGAAACAACACACGCTCTGAATAATTCCTTCCTTTCATCCCCGAATCGGTTATCGAGACACTTACGAGGAATCGCTGCGGCAAAACGTTCGCTGTCTTGCATCAATCTCTGCCTGAGTTCGTGCCGGCCGATATTAGGAGGTCCGATCAGTACAATTGGCCTTTTATGATTTGCACGAGGATAGTATAAGGCGACTTCTTCGTACGTCAGCACTTCCTCGCTGTCGTAATCTGTGGGCAAACGGTGATCTGTAATAAGAATCGTTCCACCATTCTTCCAACGTACCATCTATGGCAGTTGTCGCATAAAGGGGGTACCCATCGTCGTTGAAGCTCGAGCCGAACTTGTTTCGCTTTTTCTTCTTTGGATTTTTTCTCGCACACAGTAGCGTGCTGGACTTCTTCGAGCCGCGCACCGTCGACTTGTCGCCGGCTATCGTTTGCTTCATAGATTCGCGTCTGTGAATACGAATGTGGGTCAGGCCGTAATACAATCGCAGGCTGCTCCAATTATTGGAGTTTACTCACTGATGTTGGAACGCTCGGCTAGGTATCAGGCCGGCCAGAGTCTGGTCCTCTTCGCCTTCCCGATATGCTTGCCACCAGTTAGGATCCTCTTGGGAAATTACGTGGAGCACGTCGCCTTTTTGGAAGCTCACGCCCAATTCGCGGCACGGTATGTACGGATCTTCCTCGGGATCGTAGTCAAAGTGCGCCCGTATGTGTATCTAAATGCAGACAATGTTTCACACAATCGTCACTCTGTAATTTTCTTTTTTCCATACATCGAAACTGGGACAGTCGTTCTGTTCTATACGCGCAATGTCTCTTGTTTCACAGTCAAAAGAAGAAATGTCACGCGTTCATATGTGTGGCATGCGCTTTTGTACATTCGCGGCAAACCGTAGGCGGTAAAAGTACCTTAAATGGTATTGACGTTTCTCTGAGCTAGAAATCGTAAGCGTAAGTAATCAATGTTATTTCGTTACTCGAATCTGACATTTGCTCTTTCACCCCCGCATGTAGGATGTGCTAAATATATCGTACCTGTGTCGTGTCTTCCCTCCTGTTGGATAAATTATTTCTGTGACTTGTCGGAGCCGGAAGCACCAAGAATGTGAGACTACCCTGCATACCAGCGAGAATATCGCAGACCTCATTGACGGTCTTGCCGCGCATTTCCACTCCGTTCACCTCGAGAACCTCGTCGCCCTCGTGCAAGAGGCCCGACTTGTGCGCCGCACCGCCACGTACGACACGTCCTAGAAAAGAACCGTCGTCGACAGGATCACGCGAGCGGATCGCACGCATCGTATCGTACCTATAATCACAGCGTCCCCTTCGTTTCTGACTGTAGCACCCAGAGGTTCGTTCGTCTTCTCGATTCGGATGATCTTGATGTTGTCGACCACCCGAGAGTCCTTCCAACTGCTCGTAGGGCTGGGCGGGCCGCTGGGCGGCGAAGACGCCGGGCTCTGCTTCCTTTGTAAGCCGTCCACATACGAGACGATGGAGTCGTGCGCGAGAAGCAAAGCTTCTATGTCGTAACTCGTCAGAATACCCGTTAACTCCCCCACCGCGGCTATTGTTTCTGCTCCGCCGACACCTGTTGCGGTCGCCGACGATTGCCATTTTTCCAGGATGTCCACGCACTGAAACATCACGTTCTTACTTACAAGCGCCATTATCGTTGCATCCGTTATCGTTGCACGGTGTTCACGTACGTCCCGCGCTAGGCTCGTTGCGTCGTCCACGTGATGTTTAAAGATTTTACTCGCTCTCAGCCGATTCTTCAAAGTGTGACGCGTCGCCAGAGCACTCGCAAATCGATGCTGCACCAAAAGCGTCCGGACCGCCTCGAGTTCAGCTTCGACACCTGAACCCGAAATGCCAAGAGCACCTGAAATATTCCGCAGTTGAAGCTGCAGCCTCTCCAGCGTAGCGACGACCTCTCCATACGCTGAAATACGAAAGGCACACTTGTTAGAGACTTTCGTGTTCTAGTTATTATTTACATCGCGTCGACGAATTGTGCGAGAAGAGAAGAGAAGAATTTGACCGAGCGACAATATCTGCTAAACGTTCTTTGCGGCAATTTCACAAATTGAAGAGAGGAAGCGTAATAAATGAAATGAAAAGAGCGATACAATAAGATCGCGGCCGATTTTTCTCAATCTTATTTACAATCGATTCGCGGGAGTGCATTGCGAGAAGAAAAATGACTTACTGAGGGGTCTGGGAGGCTCCTCCACTTCTTGGACTGCATTCGGAGTGGGTTGCGCAGCAACTCGACTGATGCCGGTGGTCACCTCGTCCTGTGCGTAAGCAAGATTTTCTTGACCAGAGAGACTCGTCGCGTGGCTCTCCAAAGCCTGGAGCTTCTTAGAGCCGCGGAGAGAACGACTGAGTATTTCCTGCCTCTCTTCCTCATCCTTTCGCTTCCGTAACTGCTCCTGTGTTTGCGACATAACCGGATAAAAACGATCCATATACCACGAGATGTAAAAAAGATACCCCTCTCTCTCGCATCCTGGAAATCGTCCAAGATTTCGAAAGATTGCTATCCGAGAGATTGCTGTTGGAGCATATAATTACGCATGGGAGCGGTTTAAAATAGAGTGAGTTTCATTCTTGAAAAAGTGAGGAAAGTGAGCCGCTCCCATGCCTGAGTAATATATCTTTGTGAGAGCATCTTTCAAGGAGTCCGATATATTTCGGCGTGCATATCAAGGGCGACCGCGAACTTATGCGCAAAAATAAAGAGACCTTGAACGAACGATCGAACGTCTCTGTGAATATGTGCCGTCTGATCAATTATTCCGAAGCGGCTTATATTCAGAGAAGAAGTACGCTTTTAGTTCCAAGTGTCAACTAAATCTGACGGCGCATCAATGCGCGTATGTTCCATCTGTGCGGACGTAACAAATTCCGCGCGTTCTATTTTCAGCAAAGCACGTGTCATCGTTAAGATTGTCGATTTTCGACATCAGCAGCGATATTCATTGAGATCTGATTGACGAAACACATCTTTTATCTTCGATGAATCTTCAACTTGCGAGCGAATTTCACTGAATTCGCTATTATCGTCGCTGTTATTCGGTGATCTACGCCCACCGACGACGTCAGCTGATAAAGCCGGTGTTAGTCAGCCGATGCGTTTCGCCGACGTAAAATCGCGAGATGCGTGCGCGTGGCTGACGATAAAGAATGTCGCGCGAGAAGAGAAATACATCCTCGTAATTTTCATTTATATAACGGACGCAGCACCGGCCGTGTGAGGATAGAAATATTTCAGCGAAGCCCTGCTTACCGCGACAGTGGACATAAGGTTTCCCGTGGAACCTGAGCTTGGGGAGCAGCGCGCTAGACAACGCGTGCTGTATTAATGATTGCGACTGTGAAAAGAATTCCGATAAATCCCGGCTTTTAAAAAAAAACAACGCTTTCCACGAGATGGCACGCGCATACGTGCAACTTTTGTGCAATTCAACTGTAACGTGAATTCATTCGCGACACTTTATACGTCGAGTAATAAATAAAATTTCATTTCATTCGAAAGGAGGAAAAATTCGGTGCGGCAAATATTAAAAATGAAGAAAGAGGAGAAACTGTTTAGGAAACACGACCAACAAGTTTAATAAAAAGCCAGAATTCAATTTGAGATATCAGCTGGTGGCGTATTTCGAGATATCGAGCGGGACGAGCGTGGGGTTGGAATTCTGGAGCGCCGGTTTCCTTGAGGCAGATCAAGAAACTGAGGTCAGGGAGAAGATCCGGACAAAAAAAGGAGGGGGGGGGGGGGNTAGTCACCACCCTACGTCCACACTACTATCGAAAGTTCGTAAGGCTACAGTCGGGCCGTGTAATCTTAGACTATTGTACGGAACCTTTTACATTCCAGGCCACACTTGACTTAAGGCAGGTAAAGCGGCGTGAGGATTCTATAAGATAAACATACTCGGGGGTCCCGACGACGCCAGCCACAGAAGGTGTTCTGGCATCTTTCACACTCATAGACACCGCAGCGATCGTATGAATTTCAAGCACCGACACTCGAAACGTTCCGGGGCTTATCTACGATTTTCTCAGAGCTTTCTTCTGGCTTTTCCGGCTAACGACCTCTGCGTTTCGGAGACACTGACCATTGTAACACACGCTCGTATGTACTCGCGCTTACGGCGACAAATGATGAATAAAATCGGCCGCTAATTGACGTTTGTTGAATAATTTCGTTCGTCCGACGGAGATGTTCCCGATCGGATGTGCCTAATTAATTAATTTCGCGTCGCACACGCAAGGTCGCGCCGCGAACTCATTTATCAATCAAACTTCGGCCGGAGGAGTAGGAGATTCGGAAACTATAGCGCGGCCGACGTCGAGCGACGCTTCAATAACCATTGTCATCGGCTGGCAATTTCCTGGGCAAATGTTCACGTGGCCAGCGAATTGTACGTTCTCTTAAATAACGATCTGTCATTTACTGCATCGTTACGCAACGCGATCATTACTATTTTCCCATACGAAATTCTCGCGCGCCACTCTCACGGCTGTTACAGCTTTCCACAAAACCCCCACTTTTTCCGGCCGAACTGCCCATTAACGATTTAATTCGATCATAGGGCAAAATCGTAAATTCCATCGTCGACGAAGGCAAAAAGTTTTACGGCCGCGACGATAGAATCGTCGTGGCGTTTTACGACCGCGCGTTATTACGCAGTCAATTCTTCCAATATGCAAATACCGTGGATCTCCTTTTTTTTTTATGACAATGATTGCGTCACGCGGAAGCGGAGTTACCGCGGTCCCATTTATTGATACGTAACGTTTGTCAAACTCGCTTGATGACTCTGATGGCGAGACATGTAAAAGTACGGCGGTATCGTAAGTGGTCCATATTTTCTTCTTCTCCCTAAACGGACATTCCGTCACGTGTTCTCCTTCTGTGAGATTTGCCGCGCAGTGCAAATCGCTTATCTCGCGCGTGCTTACGATACAATACGGAGACGCCGATATTCTCGTCCCCTACCTGATATTTCCTGATGGAGTGAAGCTGCTGTTGCGTCGGCTCCGCATTGGCGTTGTCGCTGCTTTCGACATTATTGTTCTGCGTCGACAGACGCAGATTATCCTTCGGCGGTCTGGCAGGTGCCCTCTTTTGGTCCCGAGGCGGGATGGCAGGTTTAACCCCGTTGAGACCGGCCTAAAAATGCATTCCAAACAACCCGTGTTAATGGTCCCACGTGCTTGCCGTCGCGCAAACTACTTTGCCGGATCTTTCGTCCGTTTTTTTCCTCTTATTTCTTGTTACTTCCGAAACAGATTATTCGCATCTCAGATCAAGAATATCTTACAGAGCCGCGACACGCAGAAGGATGAAAGAGAAAGCTAGAGGACGCGATAGAAAAATGTGAGTGAAAGAGAGAGAGAGAGAGAGATGCGTGCGTTACGAGAAAGCAAGAATACCAAGCAGAAGTAAAATGTCGTGTTAGATATCCCCCCACACGCATGCTCTTCATTTCGCCTCTTTAATTCAACGGTCGTCTTTGCACTCTTTTCTTTTCTCTTTGCGAGTTAAACGACTTTATCTCCCGGGACAAATTGTCGGCACATCTTTTGAAAAAAAAAAAAAAAAAGAACGCAAGTGAAAATCTCCAAGGTACAAAGATCACCATTCGAATCGTTCGTTCAGGCGAAAGAACCAAGTCTGTTGTGCGGTTTACCTGTTGTCCAAGAACGTCTTCGTGCGATTCGCTTATACTGTTCTCCAAAGTGTGCGTCGACGGCTCGCCCTGCTCCATACGTTCGTTAGAATTGTGCGAAATCAGCGGACAATTCCCTTTGCTCCATTTTACGGTGCGCCACGAGACTTTCGTCGAGCGTAAGTCAGAGTCGGAGAGTGTGAGGCGAATCGCGAAAGTCTGATAATCGGACGTTAAATCCGAAGGCTCGTTCCTCGGAGGCATTACGCCGGCGAAACTTTCGTGAGATTTCCCGATACCGTTGGGAAACGTGAACGAGGCGTCCGAGAATTTCGAACGCTCAGCCTCGTTGGAACTCGTCCGATTCCGCGCGTCAGACGAATCGTCCTGAAAGTTATCATCGCTGTCCGGAGGAACGCGCGTGTCATCGGAGAGCTCGCGCGAGGAATCTGTCTTTTGGGAAGGATCCGCGGATTCATTCGGAAAGAGAAGACGGGAGGAAGCGCCGCACGACGCGAAGTCATCGAATCCCGTTAAGAAAGCGAGCTTTTCCGAGTGGAAAATAACGGAGGACTGCCGGTATCGAAGGGCGGAGCGAGCGGACCTCTTCCGGTATCGCGACGTCCGCTCGGTGGCGGGTTTGTTAGGGGCCGGCCCAAGCGTGTTAGAGGGATGCGTGTTGAAAGCGCGAAGCGAATTGCAGCGCTCGTGGTAGACGACAGAGTGCAAGCCGTCGAGCAGCAAGCTCTTGGCTCGGATCCTTACCTTGTTGGCGTCGTGCTTACGGTCTACGGTACGCGCGACTACGGTCTCTCTACCATCTGCACTAGACAGATTATCGTTCGGGGAGAGGCAGGGGGAGGCTACGAGCGCTGTCGCGCTGGTCGTTGCGATCGTAGCGTACACGCTTCCCTCGCGATCGCGCCTCGGCTCGCTGTGCTTGGGCGGCGGGTATACCGGATGGCACTTGGTGACCGGCACGAAATCCGCCGGACAATCGACCGCCACCTCGCGGTAAGCCTTGCTCATCACGAGAAAGCTGCGATCTTGCTCGAAATCGCCGGAGGCTTCGCTCCTCAGCGTGGAGTAGCCGCTGGAGATCTGCTGGTGCCGCTTCTTCTTCGGCCGTTGTCGGGACGAGGAGGAGAGGTTGCTCAGATCGTCGCTCGAGCCGATCAGCTCTTCGATGTCGAGGCTGCGCGCCTTCGGCCGCTCGTCGTTCTGACGGCGCTTCGACCGCTTGCCCACCACCAGCTCGGCTTGCGCGGCGGGCTCCGTCGCTTGATCTTGTTGGTCGACCTTCGGTATCCTCGGGATCGCGCATTGCTCGTCTATCAGCCTGGTCAGGTCCGAGACTTCGTCGGAGCGTATCAGCAAGTCCGTCAGCCCGTACGCCGGATTGTCGAAGGAGGTCGCGTCGCGGGCGCGACCAAAGAGCGGGGCTACCTTGATGTCAGGCACCACCGACCTGCACGGAGAGCCGAGGTCTATCCTTCTGACGTCGTAAGTCGGCGAATCTTTGCGATTCTTACCAGGTTTCAGCATCAGGCTGGTGTCGAGGGGCGCGGTACTGTCCGATCTGCCCGAGGAACTCCTCGGGCTCGCGGAATCGTCGCTGCAGGTCTTCAACATGGTGGGATAATCCTCCTTGGCGAAGGGATAGTCGTCCTCGACGTCGACGCTGGACTCCTTCTGCCCGGCGGTGTTCTCCTCCTCGAAATCCCCGAAGGTGCTCTTCAAGTCCGGAGACGGGCTCCCGTGATACTTGTCTTTCTCACCGGCTCTCACCGCCTTCTCCTCCTCCTCGTCCTCGATCTTTAGCTCGATCTTCAGCATGGAAGGCTGAAGCCCGTTGTCGGTCACGTCGTCCGATACGCGTCCGTCCGCGATGGTGCGGGTCTTAAGGGTCTCGTTTTTAAGGTTAAGGGAGAGGTCGCTAGCGCTACGGGGACGGTGCTGTAGCCCGTTCCTATAATCGGAAGAGCGATTCTTTACCTTATTGGGATAGGCCTTCTGTAGAAGGGTGTCGGGCACATCAACAGGTAGCTCCCGATGATGGCCCAGGGCACCAGGGGCCCACATCTCATCGGGCCCCTCCTGCGGCTTCTTCGCGTCGCGCGAGCTGCTGTTGTTGTTCTCTTGCAGCTGTTGCTGCTGTTGCTGAGAGTGTATGTCCGTCACGCCACTACCGCTACGCCTTCGGGACCTGAAACGAGAAGAAGGCGTTATTCTTTCGACACCGTGTATCAAGGTTGCCTTTCCGCGAGATAACTGTATTGGGGGAAATAACTCGAATGAAGGATAACCAGGCTATATTTCTCACACGCAACGGGGTAAATTGCCAGCTGTTACGAAGCGGTACGTGCGGTTAATTAGATAACTTTGAGGTGCGAACTAACTCAATGTTGACTGTGCGACAACGTATCATTAAGAAAGGTCGCGATGGAAAGTGAGTCAAAGAATCACGGCATAGTAACGCGATTAAAATCAATATTTGCTGCTGCCTTCAACGAAAGAGTGAGATTATAGCGCAAACCTTTCTCAAGTTGGACGCACGGCAGCGGAGTAAATAAGCAATGCGGTCAAATGGTCTCAATACTTTCACGTCGAGAAAACCTAGCGAGCTGGTGAAATATGAGAGAAAAAAAGTCCCAAAATATATATGCGGCGCTTAATTATGTTGAGCCGGTCGTGCGTATCAATCGCTGGTAGCACGTGCCGACGGCGATGCCATGAATATTCCTTCCTTTCGTACCTTTAAATTTTGTAGAACATGACGGTGGAAATTAATTCAACCCGCTTTATGTATCACGCGACTCTCATGTTATATATGATGTTTCAAATGAACGTAGAATCTTCCGCTCGTTCGATCGCGCCGAGGATATGCAGACCGGAAAGAAACTTTCGATACGATAAACCTAAAATATACGTATTACGCGCTGTCAGCCGCCGCTTTATCTCGGCGGTAATTTCTCCGTTATAAAGTTGGCAAAACCATGAAAGTAAGCTCGAAAAAATCTCGAAAAATTCGTCAAATATCATTTCTCTCACGGCGAGCTTTCTTCTGTTTCGGAAATTAGATTCCTGCGACAAAGGTCGCAGCGGCGATAGGCCTCTTCGCGGATCACCGGGTATAGAATATTCAACACAGGAACGCCATTACACTCGTCGGTCCTTACGCAAATACGCGCGTGGACATTCATAGGACGGGACAATGGAAATCGCGAACAAAGACGATAGGAAATACGGTACCGCGATTCAATATACGCGGACGCTTAATGACGCCGTGCGTTTTCGGTCTTTCGGCCTTAGAGAAAAGATTCAATCTCTCGATCGTTGAATTAAGAAAGCCGAATCTTCTCTTTCTTCCTCTTCCCTCCTCTCGCTCGCGTAATTCCGCAAGCACGCAACGTTTCCAAACACATTTATTTCGCGGGAATAGAATATCATTAAGAGGCGGAGAGCGAGACCTAATTTCTGCGACGTCCAGACGGATTTCGCCCAGGAAACGCCGCGTTATTTTCTCTCTTTTTTTTTCTTTTTTTCCTCCAGTAAGAAACACGTACTTTCCAATAGTTAACCGATCGCTAATGCGAACGCGGATCGGCGCATCCGTTCGTTCCACGTGGACTCCGTAACGGAAAACGTGAGCAGGTCTGCGTGAATACCGCCTGCAGCACGCACTGATCGACACGGTAAGGCCTTCGAGAAGGATCGCTTTTAAAGGGAAGGAAGGCTGGCGTCGCGTCTGGATGCATTTACAGGCAAACGGGGATGGGTCAGCCTAGTCTCGAGAAGTGTGACTTTTCCAAAGTTGCGAATTCCTTTGACATAAAACTAAGCGCATTCTCTTGTCGATAATCCGACGAAACCGCGTCTGTCGTATTCGTGAAAATGTGACAATGCCGGTAAAAATTGACGCGATTCACGCGTGCAAAGTACTATCCATACGAGCGTGCGAAGCGGTCGACGCGGAGTGAAAAATGCGGAATGAAAAATGACATTTGTAGTAACGTATAAATGTAATTAAATTATATCATGATCGATTAAATCCAATAGCGATCCGTACGCTTTTATCAGCGAGTTAACTAAATCGAGTCGTCAAAAGCTATCATTGTGCCGATACCATGACGTGATCGAAAATCGTCTCTCCGTGCGAATAATGAAACCTTAATGAAAATGTGACACACTTTCGCGCCCCGTTCGTGAGTTTCCATTGAAACGGAGGAATTTTCAAGAAAGAAGTCTAATTAAAAAGTTTTCACCGATTTTCCAACGGCTTTCGCGAATCCAAGATTTATTATTTGCGAGATCAGTTCTATGATTTCAAGGATTTCGCAAAAAGGTTTTTTTTTTTCTTCATTCTCAGGCAGTGCGAAGCGACGCTTTGCGTAAAAACTTCCTCTCCGTTCTCTCTATCTCATTTCGTATGAAATAATGCAGAAATTTAATTGCACGGAGAATGTTGCTTTCCATGAGAGACAGCTTTTGTCGCATTTACAGCGATGCTACCAATTTGCGCTAATTGCGTCGAAAAATTCACGCCATGCAGAATATACGAGTGAAAGTAAGTTACACAGGCTTCCTGACGGGGGCGACTTACAAAACGGAATGCAAGAGTCTAATGATGAGTGTACCACCGGTGTCGCATTTCCCTATACAAATCGTGACTCCTCGCGAAAGGTCACTCTTACTTTCTCAATTAATTTCTCCATTCATGCCGACATTTTTATTGGGCGTACCGTCATGTTCTCACCGATGCGCAGCTGCATTCAGCGAAACTCCATTCACTCGAGTTTTTAACAATGCGTCGTACCGTGCCGCCGCGTCATTATGCGCTTAAATATCCAAATTGACGCAAATATGCGAAACAAAACGACCGTGATGAGTCACTGTGTGTGTGTGTGTGTAATAACAATCTATTAATGGCAATATCGTGGATTAAGTTATCGCCAGAAACTGGATCGCGCGAACAGCAATGTTCGTTAATGAAATAGCAATCGAACAGCAATGTTCGTTAATGAAATAGCACATTTAGAATTGATTTTCTCAGTTTTCTCTATAGGACTTTAAGGTGGTGCAACGCCTGAAATGTCGATCACCACGGAGATGAATTTTTATAACGGTATTTATCGATAATCACCCCCGATGTGGGATCGCGCGGCTTGTCCGTGGTGCGGAAATCAAGTCACTAAATTACGACGCACGTAATTACCCATATTTAGCGGAAGATCGAGGCGTGCTCAAGGCCCGAGCAATTATTCGTATAATCGCGTGCGAAATCCACGAGTTTGATTATGTAATGCGAGTTACACCGGAATGAATAGACGTTACAACACCTCGGTGTCGCTTAAACTAAGCTACATCGTGGCGAACTTCGAGGCGATTCCTGTGGAAATTCTTCGCAAGAATTTCTCCCGCGATCGACCTCTCGCCTTCGTTCTCTTTCCAAACATCATTCCACGTGCAAGAAAAAGCCAGCGAACGGGCGGTTAGGCTTTCGTAGCGATTCGGTGTATCCGTCCCTGACTTAACGATACCCGTGGAGAAGGGGGCATGTAGTGCCGCGCAGTCGGGAATGGAAACACGTGATCTCCCCTTGTTTTGAATTCCACGTGAGAATTCGCGTTAAATGTTCCCAGAGTCAGGATACGCTTCCCAGCGCGATTTTTGTAGAGACGAGGATTTTATCGCACATATATTTTTTACCTTGAATTCCCGGTATTTCGGCCGAACTTTACCAATTTTGTTCGCTCTCGCGTCGAGTAAGCTTTTCTATTTGTTTCTTTCGGAACGACTCAGACACTTCGTGAACAACTGTCACATACATCGTGTTTCACTGGATCGCCCCCTGCTTGTGCGCGACACGCAAGTTGACAAATCATTGGATGGACAATCTTACGCTCGTATTTGTAACCCCCTAACTATGGTAATAACGCATAGTCATTACTGAGATCTTCCGCGAGCGCCGAGCAATAAGTGGCACTTGATAACAAGTACGGGCTGCTATTAAACTATCAAGCGGTTATATCTCATGAGAAGTTAATATATTACACACCTACACACAGGGTGCGAGCGCTCGCTTTCTCCCTACGGAATACCTTTGCGCGCCTCCCTACCTTTTCACTATCCTCTCCTCCGCTCTCAAGCGGGAATCTTTAATTAAGAGCCGCGGACACAGATTTCGCGCATGGCATAATTCCGCTCGTCTGGAAGAACATTTTTTGCGCTGCTCGAAAATTAAAGGAACGTTGCGCGGAGGGCAAGCTGCCATTAACACGTACTTTCGGACATGCGTGCGTAGATAATTAAATGCTACGCGTTGTATAATTTCACACGAGGCGTATCTTCGCAACATCCTCCAACTTTCGCGCGATATTGTAATGTAATCGGAAATATCGCTTCCGATAAATACTGGCGAAACTCTCGTTTACTGTGTGTACATCATTGTAATTGTAAATATTTTCAGCTACTTCGGTACGTGAAAACACGCAGCTTTTGATGTACGAGATGCACAAAAAGAACAAGTGTATTTTGTCGAATATATTGACGATACGCGCGGATACCGAGCGCTGGAAACCTACCAGTGTAGCGTTTTGAGGATTCTCATGGCGTGGCCCTCTCAACGACTCGTCCTTCGTTCAAACCTCATGGGCGCTCGCGCGACGGAGCCGCGGAGAATCTCAATGCGGTCCCGCGCCGCTGAGACCTTCCGCCGATTTTTTCGCTTCCTCTTCCTAGTCTTCCCCGATATACACACTTTTATCCGTTTTCCTTTTGTCTTTGAGATATTTATCTAGCGTCGACTCGCCGATAGCATCGCGAATGATCCGCTATTGGTCCGACCTTCGCGAAACATTATTACATTCTCTACACGATTCTTCGCTTCCTCTTACCACACCCCACTTCCACGCCGGCGTGATTAAATATTTAAGCCCCTCTCTTCGCGGGCGAATTCTTGCCGGCTCTTCCGTCCGAGTATGGGATCGCTGCGCGATTTTTCATTCTCCACCTTTCCCCGGCCTCAAGCATTCCACGGAGACGCGCCGATCCTACGACACCCACGCAAAGTCGATCTCTCTCGATCGATTCTTCCTCACTGCGAACGCAACAACGCCCTGCACGACGAAACCGGACTCTTCGCGTCGTCCTTATCTCACTTCCTCCTCGTGAACCACTTTTACACCTTGCGCGTCTCGACCTTAT